TGATTTTGGCCTGTCAGCTTCCCCGTCAGAGGCCCGGGAACTCTATTAGGTCCAACCTAGACTTGGTAATCTGGGGAAGGCTCCAGGGTCCAAGCTGGGGTAAGCTTGGAAGAAGAGGAAGAACGAGAAGACAAAGAAGGGGACGTGAATGGTCTTCTTAGCCTCTGGATCTTTGCTGCTGCTATTAGACACGCCTCTGATTTAGTACTGCCTAGAGACGCACAAGATTTCCTGATCAGATGGATATATCAAAGGACTAATAATTTGTTTTTTGAGAGTGGGTGCAATTCTCCGCATCCAATTGCCCAACATGACGACCAAATTAATTCTGGGGAGCTTTCTTCCCCCCCAAAAAGCTACCCCAAATGTCAATTGGGCCATCATTTACACGGCCAATTCGGGGCGACATATACCGTGCCTAGGGTCAGCGAACCTTGCCGACTTTGATGGGGAGCAACATCCTTGCCCTCTTTGATCTGCTACGCAATTCTGGGGAAGACTCCTGTTCAGACTTTATTTCGAATATGAGGCTTGAGGCATGAGGCTTGAGGTTTGAGGCTTTGTTTGTTACCTTGTGGATTCCGCCTATCTGTTATTACAGTTGAGATCTGTTGTCTCTTTCTCGGTCGTTCGAACTCTCTCGCCAGGTATACACCGTTAGCGAGGTGCAGTTTTGAACCGAGGCCTAGATTGCCAGATGGGTCGGACATGGACTAGGTTGATGAGATCGTAAAATTATCCAGCTTCCGTAATTGGATATCCCTTCGGGACATCATCTCGCCCTTCTGCTCGGCCGAGTGATGTCTACAACGGACGGGTGTGCGATGGACTGGTAAGTCACAGATCTCATACATTACAGCATTACAAGTTCACATCTCATTGACAAAAATTGTAGGGTTGGGGATTCCGATCATGTTCAGAGCACTGGATCCATTGCCGGGATCGCAAAGACGACGCGATACGCCCCTGCCAGCCACCCCAGCCCATTCCCCAGACTTCCCCATACACCGGCGCTGTAACATAACGACGGATCACGGCTGATTTCAGGATGCCGGCAACCGCACCAACGGTTTAGACCACACCTCCCAATATACATGCAAAGGTCGGCTCTGGTAGCACACAGAGCTAATTCTCTTCGGCTCACCTACTTTAGGATAGGAGAAAGTCGAGTACCGCTCTCTCACAGGACAGAGGTTGCGTACTAGGAATCTTGGCAATACATGCACAGGTACGCAGCAAGCACACATACAACACAACCATGCATACAGTCACGACACCGGTCTGTCCAGTGGCCAGACCACCCTTTGGCCGTGTTCTATGACAAGGAGGACATGGCACTCTGTATCTGAATATGACGTGGCTAGGAAAATGAGCCTCACGATTCTGTCCTCAGGCAGTGAAGAAGAATGGGACACCAGCGTGGCGCTCGTCACTCTATGGTCCCAGTTAACCTTGTCCGGCAGTGTAAAGGAGTCGACGTCCATCTTCTCTTTACAGCCTCAATGTAGTAGATGGGTGGCAATGTCTATGTAAGCTCAATTGGCGTTCAACGAAACGGACCAGGCGTTTCTTTGTGTCCGTCCGAAATAATGGCAAAGCCGACTGGCCACGCACACACACGTGGCTGTCTTGAAATGTGCCAGCCCTGCCTCCTATCATTGGATCGAAAAACGTTTTGGCTAGGCACAACAACATTGGGAAAAAAGATTCCATCTGCCAAAGTAAGGAGTCAACTCATTCGTACTGTGTTCATCATAGTACTTTTCGTCGTTCTCGAAGCAGCAATGAACCATTATGTGGCGTGCTGATCGGATGGCTCGCACTTGAGGCGTTTCTGCAAGATGCCGGTAGACTTGACATGGCAGGATGTCATTACTATGCAGTCTGCAATGCCTGTAGATTTGAGGCGAAATGCAATGTTTTCCCATCGTGTCTAGCCCAAAAGCGAACAACGATCGACGCGTCGCCTTCCAGACGAGAGAGTCTTATGAGCCATCAATTAGAAGGATGGCTAATAGAATAGGTAGGTTAGATGGTAAGGTAGTAAGGTAGGTCCATGGCTCGGCATATCTAAAGGTGGGGCGCACACTCCCCAAAGCGGCAATCTTGTATATGAAGCTTTTATTCCGTACGTCTGCATTCCTGCCTTCCCACCATGCACACAAACCAATGAACAGAGGATCAATCAATATGGGCCTCCTTTAGTGGACTATGCTTGGTGATATTGTAAAAGCCCTCAAAGGTGGTGTCAATCACACACACAGAAGTCATCCTTGATTCTTTGTGGCCAAGCATACCTGCCAGGCAGAGCAACTTTGCGGGATGACCTCACACAACCACCATGAAAAACGCATTCGTCGCCACATTCGGTGCATCATCTTTCCACAGGGCGAATGTAACCACACACGATAGGTTGTGGGAATTTATTTTATGGTTGCGCTCTATATCGTGGTGGTCTTCTTTTTCATGGGCAAAAACCGTCAATGCGGCTTTTGTGTCTTTAGAATTCGAATTGGGGGTGGGAAACCCCCTTCCACCACTGTAATGTCGACGGACGCTATTCTAAGTTAGTATTCTAGGCGACGTCCTATGAGAGAGAAGCGAACCCCCCCCCCAACTAACGGGAGAGACAGTCAAGAGTCTATTTCCACGCGGCGCCGCATATCGCGGCCATTGGACACGGGTCTCGGTCTCGGTAATGTCAGACAATCATCCTTAAACAAACAGACTAAAATAATGACCGTCTTCTCTGAGCATTCTTCTTGGACAACTTGCTCACTCGCCGGTGTCATTGGCACAAATGAACCTGTTCTAGAAGGCCATAAAAAAAAACAAGAATAAGACACTGAAGTCCCCCCCGGTTCGCCCACCTCCCCGCGCCAGTTGGACAGGACAGAGAGGACCCTGGATCTGCTAATGCCCGATTCTGATTCTGGGAGGGAATGATCGGCGGCCTGGGCTTTCTGGCTGCTCTCTCATCTTTTCCCCCTTCGGTCGCCGTGCAGGCCTTCACGATCTCGGTCGCAGAATTCCCCACTCACACGGGTTTTCCTGAGCAAGCAGTATTGTTCGTCCTTTCTTTTGTGTTTCTGATGCTGCTACTGCCTTTTCTTGCTACACGGATTGTTTTGCGTGTGAAATCGTCCCATTATCAGCAAGGTAGGTCCGGTTTACAGGTTTTTTTTTTCTGCCGCACGCGCGCAAGTCCCCCCGGTCCCGGCTTGGCCAAGCACATATGACGAACGGCAAACACAAGAGAGCCGCGCCATAGGACAAGGGTACCTACCATTGGGGGATCTAGAAACGGACTTCATCTAATCCATTTGGCTGAAGGCCTTTGTCGAATAACACAAACGTCATATATTGTTCCGTCGTTGGACTGGAGACGCAGAGACAAGAATGGGACCCATTTATGAATACCTACCTAGGTTAGTTGCTGGTATTCCCGTCTTGTATACTGCAGTGTCTTGCATCTCTGTGTTCCTAAGTACTAGATAGGCATTCCGATCATGACCTTGCAATGACGACACTAGAGATCCACTCAGGACTACTCTGTACTGATCTTCTCGGATCCCACAAAGACAATGAAAAAAATGCCCTGGTCGAGCATTTGGCTCGTACCTCCAGAATGGAAAAGCTGGGGGTTACTTGGCACGTACATATTATACTTTGTACTATTTCCGGCCATGCCTTTTGACAGGAATAACCAAGATATATCGGCAATTGACCTGAATTATCCGTGCACGCGCCACCCAACGTCGATCTATACTCGATATTCATGGGGGAGGGAACTTCAGTTTCTAGCTCATAATCTGCCAACCGGATTTGGCCAACTGATCGTCCTGGCGGCTTACAAGGAACATTGCTTGTGGGGAGGCTTCTGTGACACGAGACTCGAAAAATTGATCGGCCTTGCAGTTGGCTCACCTTCTGTCCTTTTCCCCCTTCTTTTTTTCGGGTATACGTGTAGAACTCAATTCCCATTCGGCTGAGGCGAATCAAATATCCGCACTCAAGTAGGGCATGAAATAAGTAAGTATAAAGAAAACTATCTGCTGTAATTATGTAATCAACTGCCAGTTCTTCATGGGGCATATATATCTTGTCTTGAAGCCTAAGACGACAGTGTGCAGGTCGGCTCTGCAATAAGAAAACTCACGTACTGTTCATCCAAGAATCAAGAGCAGGAACAAGGAGATGGGAACATTGTCACAAAATATATCCAAAGCTCGGGAACTGCCGGATATAAATAATGTTTCAGTTTGGGCAAAAGGTCATGCTCTGCAAGGCGGGCTTACCCTTTTTTCCCTCCTGACCCATGGGCTCATATGTCTCAGATGTGTGCTGGTTGCTGTTGTCGACACACACAAGACATGCGGCTCTGCTGTGCCTTTCTCAACCTGCTTGTTTTTTTTCTTCTTCATTTGTCTTACAGTGCTGCAAGCGCGCTTGTCAAGCACGCATGGCATGGTTGTGGAAGGAAAAACACGCATTCTAGAAAATTCAGGTAGGGCTGCACGCTTCACAGCAGAAATTTGTCTCAAACCCTTTTGCGTGATGTCTTGTCTCTGGAGTGTTTCTCTCGAATCATGCACATGCTTTTTATGTAGGGGGCCACTTTCGTTTTGTCTTGAGAGTTGAGAAACCCTCCATGTAAGTTCCCCGCAAGCTTCTGGATGAACTCTCTGTGAAACTTAAGCTCCGGTGATTGCTTTCCGTTCCTGAAAGTTTCTCATGCATAGAGGCAAGGCAAAGCAGGATTCCCGTCAGACCAGTGCGGCTTCCCAAGTATCTATCAATCACTGTTGTGCAGCTATCTTGGATGCTACTACTTTGTTGTAGCCGTCCAGGTTGCCGGTACTGGTATTTCTGTAGACCATCTTTCAATTATTATACATTCTATTTGTTCTTTCCTAAAGGTCGAAGATGGCCTAATCCGAAATGCTTGTGAATTTATATATTTAAACCAAAACTTTACACTAAAAGTCTCTTCTCATCCCTTAGTCTTGTTTTCCTTTTCCTTTCCCGTCCGCATCGCTATCCGTACCCGCGGCCGTGGTCGAGCCCGAGGGCAGGCTGCTGACACTGCCCTCGACGCGAAAGCTAAAGTCGACGACGCCGACGAGCTTACCAACCCCTTTGACGATACCGGCAAGCTCATCACACACGAGCACGCTGGTGACCTGGAGCACGGCGAACTCGGCGTAGCCGTTCTCGGCCATGTTGCTTGCGTCTAGGAGGTTGATGGTCGGTCCCGTTCCCGCCGACGGCGCTGGCACCTTGATCTTTTGCAGGTGTCGCGTGAGCTCATACGGTTTCGGCACGGGTATATTGGGTGGCAGAGGCTGTCCGTTTAGGAGCGAGTTGGATACCAGGGCGAGAGTGCAAATTATCGTGTCTTTGGTCGAGCTGACATCCTGTAGTAAAGCAGAGAGAGCCTGGTTCCAGGCACGATCTTCTTGGGACGGGTTTTGATGCCATGTCACCGAGTGCGACATGAGGGTGAGATAAGACGTTATGCGCGTCGCACGCTGGATGATATCAAGGTAGGTCTGACGAGGAAACTTGCCGCCAATCGTTGGCTCGTAGCGCTGGAAATTGGCGTGTTGGTTCAAAGACGGGAGTAACAACAGGAGCTTGCCAAAGAGACGGCGCCGCGTCTTTGCTAGCCTATACGCCGGAGTATTCTTGACGTCTGGATCGCCGCCGGTGTCGTTTAGTCGAGATTTGAGCGTCTCATTAATGGCTGTAACATAATGTGCGAGAAGATACATGGTTGCGGATAGATCTCGGCGAAGCCAGGTACGATCCGTAATGGGAGAGGGGAAAATGGTCCAGATGAACGCGACGAAACACCCTCCAGCCACCGTCGCCAAACGATACGGCCCAAACTCATAGATACTGCAACAAAGTTAGAAAACGATACTGGGATAATATACGTGGTAAATGAACTTGCGGGTAGAATGGCTGGTTCATGGACTCGGCTACAGCGATGCCAATCTTGGTAACCTGCAGCTCATAGCCAATGATGAGAGTGAGAGTGACCATTGATATCATCCATGTAGGCATGAACTGGGGATGTTTGATAAAACCGTAATGGATACACATGATGAAGAGCGCATAGAATACAATGACTCCCGGGGCTCTGTGATCAACGATATACCAAGCAATCAAGGCCAGAACCATTGCACCAATTGTTCCGGCTATGCGGCATAAAAAGCCAAAGATTGACTGTCCGGAAGCTAGAGTATTTTTCAGTGGCTGCTAAACATGCTTAACACCTCTGAAAAGACTTGACTTACTCTCGGTCATGGAAATTGACACAATAATCATGGCCCAGACTAATCGCTGCTTAACGAAGAAGGCCTGAGTGGGCTCAATGAAGTCAACAATGGCCACAGTCATGGTGGCGCAGGCAGCACGAATACCAAAAAACGACGCTGGAGAGCCAAAGAATCGATTGACGGTTCTTATTCCGTTACCGATGCGCTCAACCAAGTTAGTAGCGGGAAGATGTTCAGGGTCCTTCTTTGCAGCAAACCCATCGCCAATGTATACGACATTGTTGGAGTCGAAAAAGTCCGCCGTATTCTCGCCCGATGCATCTTCCCCTTTAAAAATTGCCGCTGTCCATTTCTTGAATCTCTTCCAGGTCGGTATGATTAAGCGGTTCTTATCCATCTTGCCACTTGCAACTCTCTCATCGGCGAATTTGACGAGGCTGTGTACTGCTTCGGCGGCTTCTTGTATCTATGGGCCGTGTCAATCCTCAACAGATTCTGTCGAATACGGATTCCTTTTCTCACAAGTTTCTCAATGTATAATAGTAAGTACAACTGTGACTGATCACGGCGGTGCTTCTCGTCGGGGTCGTTATTGAGGCAATCCGAACGTATGGTTTCTGGCTCGTCGCCATTTTCTTGCACAAAGCCTCTTTCCCTGGCCCAAACCATTAGGACCTTGGTTTTCACGTCCTGGAGTTTTGACATCAGCGCAATTCAATTGTATGATTGATTCTTCCACTAGCCAGGTGTGTTCTTCGGCTTTCAACTTTTAGAGAGATTCCAATTGGTGTAGTTGAACTCACTTTGAGAGAATTGATTTTATCTTCTAGGCCTCTTCCAAAGTCAGCATCACCAGGTCTCGAAAGACCCCCTTTTGCCTCGACATCCTCGGCCCCATTTGGCTGGTCCTCTTGCCGTTTCTTGGCCGCTTTGGGTCGTGGTAGTAATTCCAACTGTATCGCAGCGTGCTCGAGCCCTTGATCGACAATCTCGGAGAGAACCTCAAAGGGGTTGTGAAGTTGCCGCATCACCTCGTTCCAGAGCCTCTTCTCCTCCTTCTTCTCGGATATCACCTCGGCGGGCGTGCGGCTGTCCGTGACCCAGTGGCGCCTTTCCGCTACTCTTTGAAAGATGTCAATGAGCGTGCTCATGCCGATTATGGGAATCAGGCACGAGCGAATCTTGAGAAACGTGACTTGCAGATCGGCCGGCTCAAATTTACCCCACGAAAAATCTCGCTTGGCAAACTCCAAGTCGGCCTGCACCTTGCCCGCCAGCTCGCGCATCTGGCTAATGGTCGCCTTGAGCGCCTTGGCCTCGGCCTGGGTGACGGGCTCGGCGTCTGCGCCAGACGGCTTTAACTTGCTCCCTCTTCTGTCCCGGCCATGGTCGACTGCCGAGCTAACATCGTGCGGCTTGGCAAACATGTCCTCACGTTCGAGACTCTGCATGTACAGCTTCTCTTGCTTGATGGCGCCGCGCATTAGCATGATGAGGCCACGCATCTGGCCAAATGTCACCTTGCGGCTGGGCACGGGCAGGATCAAGAGGGAGCACGCGCCGCCAATGCCCAGAGCCGTAAGCATGGTCGTCAAAATCTTCTTGACCAGAGCCTCGGCGGCGGCGGTGGTGGTAATGTTGGGACTGCTTGTACAGCTGATATTGATAAAGATGCAAAAGATAATAACGGGTATCTTTATGCTCGGGTGTTCCGACCGAATCATATTGGCGAACCAGATGAGCACAAAGAGCCAGACGCCCGAGACGGCCGATTGACTCGAATTGTAGGCGGGCAAACCGGTACTGGGATCTAGGGGCCGCGATTCCGTGTGTAGACGTGCCTGGAGAGCAGACCACATGACGAGAAGCGCGACAGCTGCCCCAAGACAGGCAAAGATGATATTCAATGCCCATGTCTGCAGGAATTTGCCGCGGGGAGTAATGGACAATGACAGGATGCTGATAATGCCCACGAGATAGCCGATCGTGGTGTAATAATTGGCAACCCTTGCAGACTGCAATATGGATATAGCAATGGTTGGGGCCACGCCGCCTCTAAAGAGATGTGAGACCATAGCAACGTTTCCGGCTGATCCGCCCTTGGGAAAAATGACTTACTTGAACATCATTAGAAGCGTTGATTTATCAAGGCCCAGCCTGGCCATGATGCCGGGCTTTGGAGGTGCTTTTGGGGCCGCGCCATCATCATTGCCGTCTTGACGATTGTCAGATGCTGGAATGCTACCATCTGGGTCTACATGTTGGTCGCTCGCAGCTGACTTTGGCGGAGTGCTCTTGACACCACTGCTGCTGCTGCTCGACATGTCCGTCCGTCCTGGGCCTCAATCGGCTTCCGTGGTGCCGTCCGAGTCAATCGTGTATTCCCGCATACAGAGCGACGACAGCTTGAGGTGTTCAAAAGTAGATTTGACCAACGCCCAGAAAAGCTAATGAGTCTTAGATGAAAATCATGTTGCATTACACTAAAAAGTCAAAGAATCCATGGGCAAACAATCACCCAGCACAGCGGCGATCGGGAATGGGGATCGGGCCACCAGATTGCCAGAGTGCTGGGTCGCGCTGGGGATGAACGTCACTAAGTCAAAGTTTGAGTTTGGCCGCCTCATCAACTTTGCTGTAGCCGATTGGCTCACCGGCGGGCTTCCAGGGATGTTGGTGGCACTTGGGGAGCTTTCCAGGAGCCCCTAGCAGTTCGGTTGAGTAAGGTACGCAGCACTAACTGGCTAGGTTCTCACTCAGCATCTCCATTTCAGTATTGCCAATGACAGTAGAACACGGAATATATATACTTTGGACTAGAAAATAAGGTAGACTTTCATAAATGCATCCAATTATCATCGTGTTGCACTGAATAGATAGAAAAGTACATCCCATGCCATGAATAAATGAGTATGTACCCACTCCTTGTCGTAATCTGGATTGGGAACCGGAACGAACGCACGGTTATTTATCAGGTAGGTGGGTAGATACCTACATGTTCTCATAAAGGAAAAATGAATCGATGCATTGACTATTCATGAGGGGTGTATTTGTCATTGTCAATCATTGCACATCTGGCACAATTCCACAGCCTGACGTATTCGTGTTTTCATCTCCTGAGATGCAGTCTCTCATGCCTCCTCAGATCGTTTAGTCTGGTAAATCTCCTGTTGCAGGTCTGACAGCTGTACGGGCGATCACCGAAATGACTGCGCATGTGCCCGTCCAAGTTGATCTTTCTCGTAAACTTCTTCTTACAGATTCGGCAATCAAAGCGTGCTTCACTGCTCTGTCTGTTGTTGCGCTGTGGGAACGGGCTCTGTCCTTCGGCCGCATCCGAATGGTAGTTCTTCTTGTGCCTCTCGAGGTCCTTGTTGGATATAAATCCAGCTTCCGCCATTGTACAACCAGGCGCCGTACACATGAATGGCCTATCGTGTCGGGCAATGTGACGCTTGCGTTGCTTTTCATCCTTCAACCCTTCGTGAAAGTAGTCGCACCGTGTCCTTGGGCATTTGTACAGGTTCTTGCCATAATACTCATAGAGATTCTGGGGTCTCTCATTTTTGGCTTCTCCCAGCGCCTCGATTGCTTTTCGGTTGTCCTCTAGTACCTTTTCCATTTCTTTCAGGCATGGTTTGTTGCGGTTTTCGATGCCCTCCTTTTCGTGCTTCGAGACGTGAACCCAGAGATCGAATAGTATTTTGTAGAAAGGTCTCCCTTCTAGGCTGGCGCAATCAGTCTTGGCTTGCACCTTGACCTCTTCCAGGTCGATATGACTGGGCTCGCTTCCAGCCGAGCTTGGCGCGGCGTCCACGTCATCAACAGAATCTCGGTACCTGTCCATAAAGACCACCAGGACTTCGGCAAATTTCTGAGACTTTGGTCCGTCAATGGTGAGCTCCTGGATTTTTAGCACTTCCGCGATGTGATAGAACCACTGGGACACCGCATAGTCCTGGAAAGCGTAGAAACCATCACTGGCGAATGACTTTCTCAAGGGGACCAAGATTCCTTTATTGAAGCATGGAAACGTCAGGTATTCCATACACAAAGTGGCTAGATCAAATTGGACCTCTTCCTTGCTGACGTGCTCACTTTCGAGGATGTATCTAATGAGGATGAGTCAGAGTTAAAATGGAAAAAAATAGATACGATAACGTACCTGTGAGCTGTCAGATGTATGAGTTCCACCTTGTTGCCTGGATTCACGTGGACGAGCGTTCCGCAAAACTTTTGCACATCAGGGATGAATCCATGCTGTTGGAGCTCAACCGATTCGTTATGTCGCTCAATCGAGGCAATAGCTCGTATCTCGTGCCAGTGGAGAGTACGCATGGCGCATGTCAACCAACCAAAAATGCACTTGGCCTTATTCCATTGCTCCGAGTCCAGAGACTTTTTGAGGTTCTCCAGCAAGCGATTATATCTGGTTTGGTGTAAGCACTTTGTACAGCTGAATAAAGCAAAACATTTCAGAGAGTCTGAGAGAAAGTTGGACGTACGCCTCGTGAATTGTCTTGGGGAAATGGCCATCTTCTAATCTGTGGTCTAAATCTGCCCTCGAGACAGACCCTTCAAGGTGGTCGAGTGTGAGTCTGGCAAAGAGAAACATTCCTGGGAGCGGTAAGCTAAGTCAGAACTAATATTCGTTGGGACAGAGATTAATCTTAAGCACCTTCAGCCGTATCAGAAATCTTCTTGATTATATACTTTTTCATGTCGATGTTGAGATCAAACCGTGGGTCGAAATCGGCAAGCCGCTGACCAACATACATCTTGATGGCCGCCTCGTTGTGTTCCGCTTCGATTTTGAAGATGCCTGCATTCGCAGATTCCGTTGAGAGTGGTTTCTTGATTTCGGGTAGTTCACGACTGATGATCAATAGTCTTAAACTTCCAGGCTCGATCGTGTCCTGCTGCGTAACCACGGAGCTAAGAGTCCTTAGTGTGTCTTTGATTACAGGCTTTTCACACTCATCCAAGCCATCAACAACAATGTATTGGCCTGGTATGATTTCGAAAAATGTCTTCAACAATGATTCTGCTGTTTCCTCGGCATTCAGATATTGTTGGCCAGAATTACTCTTCTTATCACAGCAGTGTGCGATGAGATGTCTGAACCTTTCCTCTTCGCGGATGTGCATGAGTTGGCGGTACAGCAATCCTCTGGAAATGGCTAGAAATGTCCGGGCAGTTGGATCTTTCCCGTCGCAATAGAAATAGGTGGCCTTGCAAGGAGTTCCTGCTGAGGTTTCGTTTTTCACACATTTCTCGACAAGATATGAAGCCAACGTAGATTTTCCTGGATTATCTTTAGCATGGCTTAAGCAAGACTCAGGTTAGCGCAGGACTCTCCAGAATGGAGGACTTACCAGCGCCCATACTGCCATTGATCCACAGAATGGGATGCATTGATGTTGATTTTGGATCCAGCCAGTTGCCAACAGAATCTACATCATCGATCCACTCACAGGTACCCGGAAACTTCATTCGATCCTTACATAATCTCTCATGAGTCGCATCAGAAGTATTCTGATCAGCCAGGATCCAGCGCAATGCGTCCCCAAACTGGTCCTCGCGTCGCTCTGACTCTCTGCGGTTGTGTTCTTCTTCTTCTTTGTTACAGTCGTTCTCGTGGGCGAAGACTTTGCTTCTCAGGTCTGTTATGTCATTGGGAGATAGTGAGCTCTCCTGGACAGGAGAGGGTTGGCCTGCCAAGCACTGCTGTCCATATTCCACGACGGTCTTGTGCTTTCTCATTCTGCCCTCGAGATACGACATGTCATTCTTTTCGAATTCCTTCCATGCAGACTTGAAGATCTTCTTCCGACCTATATAGCGAATTGAGTTTCAGATAAGCAAAACAAGTGAAAATAAGAATCCATGAAATACCTTTGTCGGAGAACTGAGTGAAACATTGATAAGCTCCCGAATGAAAGTCGAGGATATCTGAATACAAAGCGACAAGGCACTTTCTCATGCCAGTGGTCTCGATGAAAAGAGGTTCAAGATCTTTCAATTTGGGAATGTTTTTGCCAATGCTCTCGTATGCGCTCAAAAGGCCATCTGACCCGTCCTTGAAAGTGCTCGTCGCAGTCTACAAAGAAAACATGAGTGCTTTGGGTTTAATGGTAATGTTGCTGACCTGCTCTTACCTGAAGAAGGAACTGCATCGCACCCCATATATAAGAGATGTAGAATTCGCCGTTTGAGAACTTCTTCAAAATGACTTGAAGCTCTTGGAGTCTGAATAGGAACTGCTCGATCCTCCGGAAGTTTGACAAGGCAGCCATCCTCTCTTGATCTCTCTGTATGAGATAACATTCATATTTGAGCTTCATTGCAGTGCCTGTCTGGAATCTTGAAAGATGGCCATCCGAGATTTTCTTTCTGAATTGGTTCAAGGCTTCGCGGAGTGCGGTATCTGTTTGAACGTCGCCGCCTCCGGCATTCAAGCCTACCGACGCCATGTTGACCTCACGAGCAATACGGTCGCCGCTAGAACTGTTTGAAGTCTAATCCAAGATCAGAGTCTGATGGATTTTGCAAATAAATTCTCTCATATCTTCTCCCCTTTTCTTTTCGCGCCTTGTGAAACATCGTCAGACTGCCTTGCCACGACTTGCTGCTGTCGGGCTCGATAAGGCTGGGCGACCATGCATTGCTCCGCCACACAATTCACACACAAGCCGGGCGTACCTCAAGCGCCCCCCTCCCGTGTAAGCGAAAGCCTTGGGCACAATTGCCGTGCACAGCAATCTTATTAGGCAACCTTGAGGCGCTGTTTTTTTCCATCGTGAAGGCTGGCCAAAAGTGCCCGGCGAATAGCATCGCGTGCATGGGCGATCGTCGGCCGGTGCCCTGCAGCGCTTGTCAGGCCTGCTAACCCATAAGCATTGATAGGCTCTTGCTCCCCTTGACGAGCCGCTCCCCTCGCCAAGCAAGTCCACCACTGATTGGCTCTATACGTGCGGCAAAAGAAAGAGACTGCCTCACCTTTAGGTAGGTATGCAATGCATGCATGCATGCAGCAAATAGTCAGCTCGTGCGCAGATGTGGTTCGCGTTACGCCGCCGAGCGAGGCTGAGTCCATGCTTGATCTATTCGTTGTCGCTTCTTTTTTCTTCTTCGTAAAAGTACATGAATCGCGCCGAACAAATCTGGGCCTGTCAATGTTTGCGAGTTGACTCCAACGTCTTTAGCAGGGTGACATGGGAGACGGCGTCGTTTCCTTTGCCACCAACAACAATTTATTGCACAATGGTGGACTTAAAACGATTGTTGAATGACGATACACCAGATTATCATCATTCGAGGCCACGGCTTTATGGGCAAGATGTTGACTTGTTAGTCACTTCCTCATCTTTGGTTCCGTGCTGACCGAGAGACCCTTCAACGTGGGGCAGGACTAACGGGTATGCAGGGCTTGGAACCACTATCCGGTAGGCGGAAGTAGTGATGGTGTTGTTGATTTCACCGACCTTCTCAGTAGTTTCGGCGACGCCTCACTGGAAGGACCGTTAGACTTTGATTTTGGTGCAGAAAACTTGAACAATTTTCAGGAATGGGCCGACGACCACGCAGAGATTACTGGCGAGCCCAGTTCATCGTCCCCTAGTGACTTTGACACTGCCATGAGCAACAATACACCTGGTCCTTCACAAGAGTCCAGCACGGCCAGGGAAAGAGCAGGCTTGAATGACTGCGATGTCTGTTATGGAATGGTAGGTTCTTTCTGTTCGCCAGTTATGTGGCAAGCTCAATTTCAAGACACACATGGGCCGGGGCGTCAATAACAGGATGGTTGGCAGTGGGAACAGAGAATATTGGTGTCATCTAAACCCCTTATACCCTGCTGACTTGTTGATGCAGCTGTACAATGCCGATGTCAAGGTCGCCGGGGACATGGCTCTCCTGGACGAGAAATTGAAGCCAACACAAACAACGACACGTAATCATCGGTTCAAATTAAAGGATTCGGGAGACCACATCCAATTGAACTTCTCCGATGGAACAGAACTTGGAATATTGCGCACGAACCTGTTGAAAGGGCTTAGCAGTCTGCTTGGGTTACCCCAGTTACACTTTGAGGCTGTAGCGGATACCGGCGTCATTCGAGACACAATCGGTCGGGTTACCAAGGCTTCTGATGCGCTTGTGAGGGTCAACATCAACATCTATGGCCCTCCCGACCAGGCCGATCATATCGGGTCGCAGCTTTCTGAGCACAAACTGTGGTTGCAAAAGCCAGAGCAGCCCATTGCACATGTCGTATACAAGAACCCTCACATTTTGGAGTTTGAAGACCTAGACCTCAGTTCGATCGATCAGACAATCAACCCAGTTGAGAGTGGCAGCAGGCCAGTACCACGGACTGCAGAAGAACACCTCCGCAGAACTATGGATGAAGTGTATAGCTCGACGAGGAGGCAAAATGAGCTTACGCGAAGAGCCGTCAGTGGACGCATCACGACTTCCATGCTCGAGTGAGTAACAATTCCTTTACACAAATCGCAAACCAAAGTCAATCAATATGCTAAATGCACGTGTCACGACAAGTCATCAGAAAGAAGCGCTCGAATTCATGACGCAGAGGGAGACGGGCGAAATCAGTGACGAATTTCGGCTTTGGAGAGAGGTTGTGGTTAGGGGAGAAACCAAGTAGGGATCAGGCCAGCTTTCTATGCTTCCGTTATACTGATCAGTGACAAGGTATCAACATGAGATTACCAAAGCCCAATCGCGACTCCGGCCCGATGAGAAAGGGGGAGGCATCTTGGCGGATGAAATGGGCATGGGTAAATCCCTTTCTATACTCTCTCTGATTGTAGACACTCTTGAAAAGGGGCAGAGCTGGGCCGAAAATAGGAGATCCGAGGACCGGACTGGTCCCTTAAAGGATCACACTCGATCCACACTAATTGTAGTATCTTCTGCACGTAAGGCACACCCTTTGCAGTGACTTCATTCTCGTTTCACTAACCAGGCTCTAGTTCTCATCAACAATTGGTGTAACGAGATTCAAGAGTAAGTTATTTCCGCCCTCGATGTCGTGCGCAGTACGCTTATCCAAATTCAAGACATCTTGAAAACTCGCTAAATGTAATTCGGTATCATGGCCCAAATCGTCCCAAAGATAAAACTGGACTGGACATTCTGGTCGATTCGGACATTGTCATTACCACGTACAATACGCTTGCAAAGGAATGGAGCACACCTGGGCGCGAAAAGTCTAGCCTATTGCACAGCATCGAATGGTTTCGAGTGGTACTTGATGAAGGTATCCGCAACACCCTAACATACGCATACTCTTGTACTAATATTTCCAGCCCATATTATTCGCCGTCAAGCCACCACCTTCTATAAGACCTGTGCTGCCCTCGAAGCGGACTCAAGATGGTGTCTCACGGGCACACCCATTCAAAATAAGCTAGAAGACATTGGTGCATTGTTTTGCTTCATCAAGGCGAGACCATTCCACGACATGCGACAATTCCGGAGTTCAATCGTCATCCCTTACGAACAAAGCGAAGACGCGACTGCAATCGAGAGGTTGGTCTTATTGAACGACTCGCTTTGCCTACGTCGAACCAGGGAACTTATAGACCTTCCTGAATTGAAAGTTGAAGTTCGCGAATTGGACTTCAACGAGGCAGAGAGGAAACAGTATGAGAAGACCAAGGCAACGCTTCTGCGAAAATTAAAGCAAAAGGTCGGCGAGCACGAGCAAACCAGCAAGTTTGGCCTTTTCCAAGTGCAGCTGCAACTTCGCATTCTATGTAACCACGGAACCTTTCAGAAGCACTTTTCCTGGGTGAATAGTCAACGCGATGCCAATGAGGCGATCCTCTCGAGCGGAGCAGGGAACGCCCAGATCAACTGCAACGGCTGCCGCTGGCCCATGCCGGTGCTAGGCTCAAACAAGGTCTACAGAGAATTCGTAGAAAATTGCAAGCACGTCTTGTGTTTGGACTGTCTTGAAGAGGCTGCGTCTTCTCAAGGGGCCGAGGGCACTCAGAGGCACTGTCCATTGTGCAACACACCCCAAGCAGTGGCCGCAAAGAATGCGACAAGATCACACAACAACACAACTCGTCGAGGAGAAGATGGCGAGCTGGATGATTTGGATTATTTCAATAGTAATGGCCATTCGACAAAGATGGATGTCTTGATCCGCAACGTCAGGACCGATTTGGACCAGACAAAAAGGTGAGTCGGGCATTGTTCCAAGCATTTTTTTTTTCCAGGCGGAAATAGCTAAACAACCGATCCAAGTATCATATTTTCATGCTGGACCCGTACACTAAACCTGGTCGAGAGGCATCTCAGGCTGGCAGGCATCTCTTTTTCCCGTATTGACGGCGAATGCCCCTTGTCAAGGAGACAGAAGATTCTTGACGACTTTCGACAACCTACGGGTGATCGGATCCTTCTCATGACGACGGGTACGGGTGCATTTGGGTAAGTTTAAGAATAATGCTGTGAAACTTGGCTTCACTCTGCTTACAAACAACAGGTTGAACTTGACCTGCGCAAACCGCGTATTCATTGTTGAGCTACAGTGGAATCCGAGCGTCGAGAGCCAGGCAATCGCAAGAGCCATCCGACTGGGTCAGAGTCAGCATGTCAAGGTGATACGATACATTATGAACGATAGTGTGGAACAGGTGTGTATTCCCCCCTCCATGAGCATTGGAGACCCAGAGTTCTTCCTCGTTTCATGACATTGGATCACTGATACCATTTTGCAGGAAATGCGATCCCAGCAGAAGCGCAAGTTGAACATGGCCAAAAAGGGGTTTGATGATGAAATGGAGCAGTAGGCACATAATCAATGGTCAATCATGCTTGATAGATGCGAACACAATGCAATGCTCAATCGGTAGAAATTTGATATTCTTTTTTGAGTTTCCAGCTCAAGATGAGTGATGTTGCTCTCAAGGGATGCATGACATACTATATGTACACATTACCATCGATTAAATCTCATGTGTCCCATGCTGCCTAATCACCAACAAATCTCTCGCTATCGCTTCAATGAAACCTCAAGTTCGACCCGTCAACAACTCTGCAGTGTCGACACCGGGGTAACCAGTGCCATAGTCTGGGTCATGTCCATTCAACAAATAACACTCATGGGAGCTGCCGTACGAGGTCGAGGCCACCCAGACAACGTAGACGCAGTCGCTTGTCGTGGAGCACGCCTCAATACAACTGTCCATGTCGGGCTGGATGGCCACGTCGAGGGTGTTGAACTCGTCGGCCACAAAGAGGCTGTTCTGGACAATGCGATAGGACAGGCCATTGTCGCTTTCATAGTTGGCCGAGGGGTAAGAGGCGGACGAGGTCACGGCGGGCGCCTCGGCTGCGTATGACGATGCGGCGCTGACAGTGGTGCTGGCCGGGACCCTGGTGGCTGAGGCTGCGTAGCCCGAAGACGCGGTTGGGTATACAGATGCTTCCGTGCTCGTCGACCCAGTGGCTACGACCTTGCTGGTCTGAAAGGTCGATGGCGAATATTGAGAGATGATGACAGATGAGCTCCCGGGTGTATATGGCGACGGTCTGATCATGGTGCTGTTGGACGAGCTTGCGCTCGACAGGGCCGGGGATCCAGATGATGATGATGGTGGTGATGATGCCGGTGCGCTGACGGGGTATGTCGGCACAGTGGTGTTGATTCCACCACTCGTCCACGACGAAGTTGCCGAGCTGGACCATGTAAATGTCGGCAAAGTTTCAGCAAATGTCGATAATGTCGAAAGTACTATCGTGTTGTTGAGTAGAGGAGCGGCCGAAGATTCTGCTGCTGCTGTAGTGGACTCCGAGTACGTCGTGACAGGAATACTCGCGCTGCTGGTCCATGACGTCGTGGTTGAGCTTGACCAGGTAAATGCCGGCAAACTCTCGGCAAATGTCGACAGCGTTGACAGCACTATGGTGTTGTTGATGAGAGGCGTGGCAGACGCTTGGGTCGCGGATTCCGAATATGTCGCCACGGGAATCTTGGTGCTGCTGCTACTAGCGAATGACGTGGTTGTCGAACTCGACGACCAGGTGAATGCGGGAAGACTTTCTGCAAAGGTCGAGAGAGTTGATAATACTATAGTATTATTCACAATGGGACTGGCGGACAAGCTTGGCGTGTGTACCGAGTACGTTGAAAATGTGCTTGTAGTGCTAGTTTCCTCCCTCGTGCTAGTTGCGAGACTCTCCGAGTATGTAGACGAAGTGCTGACGGCGCTGTTGGGTACGGTCGAGGATGCCGAGTCTGGCGAGTCGACTGCCGGAGTGCGCACCATTGAAGTGCTAGCAGTATTCTCAGTCCATGAAGTCGTGATCGGAGAATCTTCCGAAACTGCAGCCAGTGACGTCTCGGAGTAAGGTCCGGACTCGCTCGTGGTGCCGTTGCTCCAGTATGACGAGGTGTACGAGTATGCGGATGAAACGGACGTGACAATATCCGTCTTGGTGACATAAATGGTCCCCGGCGCCTCAGTGGCAGCCGAAGCAACGCCGGCGACGGTGGCGGTCGTGGTGATCATGATAGTAGTTGGTGCCGCGATGCAGGAGCAAATCGTCTCGGCAGCAGATGACGGACCCGCAGTGAGTTGTGAAAAGAGACTCTCCTCGTACGGTACCGATGACGATGAGCTTTCCGTCTGGGCTAGCGTTGCCGATGAAGCCATTGTCTGAAAACTACTGGTTGCCACAGTACTGTTTCTTGCCGAGTAGGTTGCCACCGGAAGGCTTGAAGATGATGCGGCAGTCACCGCAAAGGTGGACTGCGGCAAGAGAGTATACTCATCCACTGAGCTTGCCGTCTCGGCCAACGTGACCGATGATGCCCTTGATGATGAGATGGCCAGCGATGAGTTTGAATACAGAGGGACTGAAGCCACTCCGGTCGAATAACGCGGCGAACTGTCCTTTGTTACCGAAGCCGAAGACTCTGGTGAAGATTCGGCGTATGATCTTGGCTTGTAATTGTCTCTTTTCACATTCACTGGAGTCACGTCCGCGACAACGGCTGTTGACGTCTCTGTGACGCTTACAACTACAAAAGCCCCAAACGAGTGAGCCGAAGTCGCCTCTGCAATGACCGTAGTGGTTACCGTCTGCGTTACAGTAGAGCTTTGGTATGTGGAAGAACAAAAGGCTTGAGCGGCCGACCATGTGGCCAGGGGCGCATACGAAGAGTAAAGGTCGCCATTGCACACATTGTCGGCGGCTGAGCGCGCGACAGCGGCGGCGGTAGCATGTTCAGCAAGAAGGAATGCGGCACCCAGGCCGGAAAAGAATGTAGAAAAATGCATTATCGTAAAGAGTGGAAAAAAAAGACCGACTGGCAAGAAAGAAAAAGAGTGTCGCGCCTATACAGACAACGTGCCAAAAGAGAAGGGAAAAAAAGGTCAGTGAGGCTCCGGCTCAACGTGCAAACCAAAGGAAACGAAACATTGTCATGATGAACATGGAACTGCGGATTTCCATATAAAGAGGGAAACATCCGATCACCACTTTAGACGACAAGTCCTGACTCATATAACTTCGAAACGTTGAATCCACTCCAAAGTGCCAGTAGTGGGTTATAGCGCCCCCCTGGACCATGCCAAGGTTGCCTCTTGGACCGAATTAGGGCCAAGCCAAACGCCTGGGGTCCCTTTGCCTAGGCCAGGAAAGACCTAGTATTTCATTTATTTCCAGACTGCTTGGGCCTAGACATGAGAACTGACGAACGGTGGCGGTCATGGCCGTGATGCATTCGTCAAAGGTACCTTTTCCCGGTTGTCAGATGAGCTTTAAATCACATAGAATTCATGATCCAAGAGATGAAACACAATATTTGAACATCTCTTGCATTCAGCATCTGGCTCTTGACTTTTTGCTTCACATTGTTCGACTTGGATTTGCAGTACTACCAGGTAGCCTCAAGGCCGAATTGGGGGGGGGGGGGGGGTGGAGAGAAGATCTGCACTATAAGCTTATGTACCCCAGATTAGTATGGCTTGGTCTCACTTCTTCCTGTTGGTTTTGGATTAATTCAATACGAGTTCCATGATGCGACCATGCTCTGCCGTCACATTTTGCGGCTCTGCTAGCCGAGAAGAATTATCCGAGATTTTTTTTTCATCTTAGTATCGTAGATTTGTAACTGTACAATAGACGTATCCCCTCCATAGAAACTCCAAGTATATCCGCCCGCACCCAATCATAATACTCCAAGGCTCCTTATCTGCTAGTATCCACAACATATCTTCCGGCAATCTGTCCCTGCTCCATCATCTTGTACACATTCTGCAACTCGCTGAGTCCTACAGTCTTGAAGGGAGCATTGATCAGGCCTCGTCGGAAGAAGTCAATGGCCTCGGCCGTGTCCTGGCGATTTCCGACGTACGAGCCCTTGATGGTGACCATTCTGGTGACGGTGTCAAAGACGGGGGCCTTGAGGAAAGCATTGGCCGGCAGACCGACGCAGACAATGGTGCCGCGGCTGCGGACGTACTCGCTGGCCTGCTGGAAGGGCTTCTCGTTGACGGCCAGCACAATAACGCCGTGGGGACCCAGGCCGTCGGCCGTGGCCTTCTTGACGTCCTGCACCAGGTTCTTGGACGTGGTAAAGTCGACATAGGCCGCGGCGCCCAGCTTGTCGACGCACATCGTGCGCTTCTCCTCGCCGCCGTCAATGGCAATGGCGTGGATACCCATGGCCTTGGCGTATTGCAGGGCCATGGAGCCCAGACCGCCACCGGCGCCGATAATGGTCACGTATTGGCCGGGCTTGACGCCCGACTCCTTCAGAGCCTTGTACACCGTGATACCAGCGCACAGAACTGGCGAGATGGCTTCAAGATCGCACTCCTTGGGGATGCGGGCAATGTGGTTGGCCTTGGCGATACAGTATTGCTGGAATGAACCATCGACCGTGTAACCAGAGAGGAGAGGCTCCGGGCAAAGAGGCTCGTCTGCTTGCCGGCAGAAGTAGCAGTCCATGCATGATCCGTTTAACCACTTGACACCTGCGTAGTCGCCAATCTCGACATCTTTGACCAGTTCGCCCCTTGCCACAACCACACCAGCGCCTTCGTGGCCTCCAACCAGTGGCATTTTTGTGGGTAGCGGCCAATCGCCCATCATGGCGTGAACTAAACAGATATTGCATCAGTACTTTTGTACTTTATTCCCTCCAGAAGGTTAAAAGCTCACGATCTGTGTGGCAAACACCACTGTACTTGATGTTGATGAGGACCTCGTCCGGGCCGGGCTTCTGGACTGGAATTTTCTTGTAGACGACGGCTATAAAACGTGTTAGTATGATCAACTGTCTTCAATTGTGAAATTTATAATGGGAATCTGTATTGGTAAGGAATGGAATGTGGACTTACGTCCGCCCTTGGCCTCGACCACCTGGGCCCATTGCTCGGTAGGAATTTCTTGAGACATTTTGAATAGGTAGGTATAGGAATGGGTATAAACTGGTAGTAGCAAGTGTGTTGTGTGTTGTGTGTGTATGTATATGTATGGATTGTAAAGAAGCAGAAGAGACTGTTTAGCCAAATGCTTAATGGTATGATGAGTCAGTAAACCTTGATGATTCAGAATGTTGTGTTTGAAAATATCGTGTGATTATCTCGAGTTTATATATTCACATCTCACTGTCTCCTGTTGCGAGCTTCTCACTAGTGCCGAGATCTCCTGGTAAAAGATTGTCCCCGCACGCCAAACCTGCAAACCTGATATGCGGTAGGTACTGGGTAGGCGAAAATAGCTTCTCTGGGAAGCGAGAGAAAAATCATACTTTTCGGCCAATCCCTCAATGACGGGTCCATTCTCATACTCACCAGAGTCCTTCGTTTGCCTGTGAGTTGTCGGCAAACCTTGTCGATTGACAGTCCATTTCGAGCCTAGCATGGGAATAGGCCCTTCTCCTGTCGCTGCCCACTGAGCAAAATCTCACTGTCCCCAATAGACTTACAGTACCCATCCTACCCCTCACCCAACTACTGTAGTACCCTGACTCCTGCCACGCACAACTCCGTCAGCCCACTGTGACGATGCCTGCGGGATCATCCTGCTTGCGAGGCGGCGAGCAGAGCAACTTCCGGCCGACCGGACGATTGATGGGTAGCGGTTGAGCTTCGCCCGAAATTGTGGATATCTTCAAGCTTACCTCCAGCTGGTATTAGCTGCGCGGCCATGTCATTATCACTGCTCGTGCATGAATCACTCCTCCTAAGAACTGGAGACTAGCTGGAGAATCCGGGGTATTGTATGGTAATGGAAGCCCAGTGTAATGCTGCAAGCTGCTAGAAGCTGGCTTACTGATAAGGCGGTCGACCTCTTCAGGCGGTTTGGCGGTTTGGAGGTGACCCCTGGTTCTGTTATGGCTGCAGCGCGGGGCGTCGATCGTTTCAACAAGGCGGCATTTAGAGTTCAAGCTGCTTTGCTTTGGAGGGCTCGTATCGCACTGTACTGTCCAGGACCACAAAGACAAATGTCAAGCAATTGAGTGATGCATCTCAAGTGCGTGGGGAGACGGTGCAAGCGACACGGTCTTGGCGACGCACGATCCAAGAGCCGGCAGCACCCGCCAACAGGGGTTGTCCTTCGGAAACGAGGAAGTTTGACCATGATCTTACGATTATGGCCAGTATTTTACTCTCTGTCGAGCTTTGAGTGGTCTCGCTTGGAGGGGTAGCTGAGTCTGGACTCCACCTGGAGCCGGCCGGCCGGAGCAACGCGAAAAGAAGAAATATCAGAGTCAAGCAAAGAATCCAACCTCATCTCGTGCGAGTCTCCTGGTTCGCGTGTCACCTGGTCCGTCGTGGTGATTATGATTCGACGCCCGGCTCACTAACCACAACGCTTGCACTTCCCCAGATTCAGGGGCGGTTCCATTCCTAAGGATCCGGGATTGCTCTAACCTAGACATCTCTTGACAGATGCACCGTCGATTAAGGTCCACGTGTAAAATGCACCTTTTCTTTTGTCCTTGGAACTATGCTGAAAATTACTAAGTATGGTGTATTATTATGATCGGCTCCTTTGGCCCTGAGGGACAGCATCCGCTCATCCCAGTGTTTGATGCAAGACGTTCACCTTATAGCTCTCACTCCTCTGTAGCAACTCCTCGTGACTTCCCTTGTCCACACACCTTCCGTCCTCGATCATGAAGATCACATCGGCCCTACGGATCGTGTGCAGCCTGTGAGCAATGGCGATCACCGTGATACCCTTGGTGGCGCGCTCTAAACCGTCTTGGAGCAACCGCTCAGACTCGGCGTCCAGAGCACTAGTCGATTCATCTAGTAGCAAAAGTCGCGGCTGTCGAACCAATGCTCTGGCAATGGATAGTCGCTGCTTCTGACCTCCAGACAGCTGACCACCACTGGGACCGACCTGGGTCTCGTAGCCATCGGGCAATGCCATGATGGTGTCATGGATGTTGGCCAACTTACACGCCTGCTCAATCTCGGCATCTGTTGGTTCATGATCTGGCCGGGCACCCAGTCCCACGTTGAATCGCAGGGTACCGTCGAAAAGAATGTTGTCTTGTGGCACAAGTCCAATGTCGTCTCTGAACACGGGCTCCTCCCTGGCGGCGATGTCGACACCATCGACTTCAATCTTTCCCGACTCTGGGTGGTACATGCGCTCCATGAGTGAGATGATGGTCGACTTTCCTGCTCCACTGGGACCAACGAGGGCACAGAATTGTCCCGGCTTGATCTCGATATCCAGACCCTTTAGTACTTGTCGGTTCGGGCGTGCAGGGTACGAGAAGACGAGTTGATTGAACTTGACACTCATACCACCCTCAATATGAGGCTGGACATTCTTCATCTCGACAGCAGCCTCGGGATCCTTCTCGGCCGACGGCTTCTTAGCCACATCCTTGCTTGAACCTTGGTCGATCAAGTCAAATATGCGGCCTGCGGCTCTACCGGCATTGCCTACCTCTGGCGCCAAGGTGAAAAGCTCACCCCATTGCTGAGCACTGATCAGCAGTGCGACGAGAACGATGAAGAATTCTGTCTGAGTGTTGTGTCCTTCAATAATCTGTCTCGAACCCCACCAGTACGCGAGCGAGTAGATCAGGTTCGCAACAGCGTAGGTAACAGCAAGGAACAGGTTGGCCCACAGACTGGTGCGCAGGTAATCCTGTCTGGGATGCTTGAGAGATCGCCAGTATGTTGCCTCGACCTCTCGTTCCAGGGAAAGGGCCGCCACAGTCTTGATTGATGTCACTGCCTCGACAGTGATGCCTACTGACTTGGCAAATGCCGTTTCATGCTTCCTGGCAAACTTGTGATGCAATCTCATTTGCATAACACCGGCACCAAGCATGATGGGGACGACTGCCAAACACACAAGGGCAATTCTCCAAGCAAGGACATGTGACAGGGTCACAGCGACGAGGAAGTTGACGCAGATCGAGAACAAGGTACCAATAATCGAACCGGTCAGGGAGCCGAGCGCGTTGGAATCAGCCGTGATGTAGTTGAGCAGGGTTGACGGGGTTCTTCCTTCCGACTGGTGCCATTGGACATCTTGCTCCATTAGAGACCGCATCGATAACGTTCGAATGCTGAACAGGACCTTTTCGGCGACGTAGCCTGCGCGATTGTTAGCTGACCATTGCCCCCAAAGAACGTACAAAAGCAGATTTAGATATAGGGAGGGGAATATTTCGTGGCTTACCGAAACAAGACCAACTCATAAGACTGGCACAAAACTCAATGATGGCGAGAACGAAGAACATCAGTCCGAAAAAGCTTCCCTTTGATCTAATGTAGCTCTCATCATTGCAAGGGCTCAGTGCGCCGACAGTGTGGCCAAAGATGGAAGCCGAACCAGAGTATGCACCACCGATCATGGTGGATCCTGTAAGGGCCAAGATTGCAAACAGGATATAGGGGCGTGCGTAGTAAAGGAAGGTCTTGATGTTTGTCCAGGCTGTTCTCGTTGATCTGATTTCCTTCTTTTCGGGGGCTGCGTCGTCGGCTGCGTCGTCATCGGCTGTCTTGTTCGAGGAGACATCGACTTCCTTGGTGGCAAAGCCGTCCGTCTTGGAGCCCACCTCATCGCTTCCTCGAGACGGCACGGCGGTACGAATGCTGGATGTCTCTGAGCCTACATTTTGTAAACGCACAAGTGCAGCATAGTCGGCGTCCTTGGCCAAGAGATCCGAGTGTGTTCCCTGCTCAATAACGCGACCGTTACGCATAACAATAATGTTGTCAGCCGTCTTGACAGTAGCTAGTCTGTGAGCGATGGAGACGACGGTTCTACCAACAGTAGCCTCCTCAACCGCCTTTTGAATTCTCATCTCACTAGCTGAGTCAAGTGACGACGTTGCTTCATCCAAAACCAAAATCCGGGGGTCCTTGACAAGAGCTCGAGCGAGTGCAACTCTTTGTTTCTGGCCACCGCTGAGAAGATCTCCACTAGAGCCCACATTGGTTGCCAAGCCGTATTCCAAGGTTCCCAAGAAAATGCCTGCATCAGCCATAGCTGCGGCGTGCTGGACCATATCAACGACCTGCTTGGCGAGTGGACCTTGAGCAGTAGCAGCTGCATCAAGATCCTGTCCATTTCGAGCGTCCTCTGCAATCTTTGCAAATGTGTCGCCAAGCAATAGGGGTTGAAAGACGTCATGCTCGGGCCGTGACGAGTTGAACAAACCAAGGGCAATATTCTCCAGAATCGACCGGTCCAGCAGGAGAGGGTCTTGTTGGACCAAACCGATGTGGCTTCTCAATTCTCGCACGTTCATTTCACGGAGGTTCTTTCCGTCCAAGTAAATGGAGCCCTCATCGGGATCGTAAAGTCGAGTAAGCAGGCCGGCCAGAGTAGATTTGCCGCTACCAGATAGACCGACGACGGCCGTGCGCTTTCCGGCAGGAAAGTGAAGCGATACGCCGCGGATGACTGGAACATCGGGCCGAGAAGGATAGCTGAAGGCAACATTTTCGAGCTTGAAGTCTCCCTCACAAGGCGGACCAGCAGTTGGCGGAGCCTCAATGGTGCCATCAATCTGAGATTGACGGTCGATATCCTCCCTCAATCTCTCAAACGATGCTGTGGCAGATGCGAAGATCTGGATGAAAGGGGCCATTTGACTCAACACAAGCGTACCTAGCGTGAAAAAAATAGATTAGCATTCTGAGAACAATGTATGAAAAAGGGGGTGTAACCTACCGTCCACGACGACAAAAATGATCGTATAGGTGGTACCAACGCTCATGCCTGTAAGCTTGCCACTGACCACATCAGCAATGGCCTGACTTCCTTGCCAATATGCCAATCCATTGGCCGAGTATGCAAGGAAGTACAGACAGCCGGCCTGAAGTGCAGTGGCAATGCCCTTCTTGATACCATCCTTCTGCGCCAGGCTGAGTTTCTCGGTAAATCTTTTTTCCATTCTGTCGTTGGCCCTGAAAGCTTGCACGACCATGATGTTTGAAAGGCCTTCCTGGGCCACAGATGCAGCCTCAGCCAGGTGCTTTTGCACACGCTTGGAGTACTTGCCAATGAATTTGCCACCAAAGTAGCCCATGCACATGAATGCTGGGAGGAGAGAGGCAAGAATACCAGCAAGCTTTGCGTACTTGACAAAGGCAACGATGTAGGCCGTCACAAACATGGAGGAAACGCCGAGGACGACGCCAACCTTTTCCGATGTGCCATTCTGGATAGTGGCAATGTCGGCAGTGAGTCGCGACGAGACATCTCCAGCGGGCCTCTTGTCAAAGTACGAAACTTCCTGTTTCAACAGTGATCTAAAGTACTTTGCCCTGAGGCGATGGGCCAGACGGTTGCCGAACAGGTTCCAGCTGACAATGTAGAGGTAGATCAAGACAAACTGGGCAATGGCGAGGTAGACAACGATTAGAACCTTGGAGTTGATGCCTTCCTGGTATTGTTCGGCGTCGGTTTCTTCCTCTGCGGCACAAGTTGCAGAGTTGAGGCTATCCAAGAGCTGACCAAAGATGATTCCGACCAGGGGAAAAGGAACACCGGATGCACATCCCGACAGGACTCCGACTATAAGCAGGGCAATATCGAGAAACGCGGGCTCGGCATAGAAGAGAAGGCGGAAATAATTGGCAAAACCACTCATGGCCTTTGGAGGCGGGTTAGAATATACTCGAGAGGACAGATGATAACAAGGGGAGAAAACTGCAAGGAAAACAAGGCGGTGAACTCACGCCTTCTGAAGATTTGGTAGTCTCCTTGGTGGTTGGAATATCTTTCGATTCGGCGGCAGCGGGCAGCGGCGACGCGACGACAACTTCGGCCGCGGCCTGCTGCTGCTGCAGCTGCTGCTGATCTTGAGCGGCCTGCCCACTCATTCTTTTTGTCGGTCAGGAAACAAAACGAGTGAAGCTACCACAAACCCCAAATGCTCATCACTTTTGAGGCCCAAACAAACCTCTTTGAGACCTTGTGAATGACAGCAAGGTAAAGAAGACTTTTCTCTTCCTTCTGGAATATTTCTCTTCTCCAGTCTGGGCTAGTTTGGATTGTTTAGTCAGTCAGTCAAACAACTGTCAAAGGGGGTCTCTTTGCCGTGCCCCGGAAGCAGGTGGTGCCCCTCCCCGACGGACCTGACACGAAGGCCACAAGACGACGAAAGGAGGGCAAAGAGAATTGATTTGGCCGCCACTTTTTTCGCACCGACTCCATACTGGGGCTCGGTTAGGTAAGTCAATCGCCTTTTGCGATTTGTAAAGGGCCACCGATTGCTTTTGCAGTTACCGTGATGTAACGGTTAATTTGGGCCGCTCCGAGGTACTTGTGAGTACCCGAAAGGCAGTCGGTCGGACGAAGTTCCCCCCTTGTCGCCGACCCCGGTGATTTGTTGTTACCTCCACTTTTCAAAAAATGGCCCCATGTCGCGATGGTCCACATGGCAGCATCTGATAAGATTGATTGATTGATTATCGGCATGGCCGCATTAGGACCAAACCCGCCGCTTAGTTGCAATATTGAGTTATCAGATGGCACTAACTAGTGTGCATTGGACAGATGCAAGCTAGATCTGCAGCAGTCCGCTTTTGTGCCATGATTGTGCACTCTTGCATTAAACAGACAGCTATCCACTCAACCCCTTCCTTGCATGTGCCTGTTTCTTCTTCCCGCCAACCCATTCCTGATCCCGTCTCCCTTCCCGTGGATGCAGTGCACCTAAAGCATTGCTGGTAGGTAAGTTCCAGGGCCCCGCCTGCGCCCCTCAGCCCCCCTCGAGTGAGTGAGCAAGTGACACAGTGAGTATTGCATGGAATTGAAGATGCCTGCTACTGCTGCTACTGCTGCATGACGAACAAACTTAACTTGCTGCACACGTGCTGTGCCCACCGATCTCGCGGGGCTTGTTGTGTCCGGTGTTACAGGCAGGTCATTTACGCGTTATCCAATGTCGGGAGCCTTGACTAGAACAACATCAGCCAAGTCAAGCAAGTTGTATTTCTCACTGAACAGATGCGGATTTCCTGTCAATAAGGAATTGGGAGTTTCTTTGCATCGGTCTGTGGCAGCAACTACTTTGACCAAATTGCGCACCCTTCGTAACTTCTGATTTGGGAGCGCTCGGGACTCTTGGACGTGTGTTGTATCAGGTATACCCATCATAGATCATACCGTGGCTGTCGATCGCTACCCGCAGGTTTCCTACACTATTGCCAGACTACACGTACACTACCACTACTTTCAAGTTCTCACCGTGTGCGTGTGTACGCGGTCAGCTCGTCAGCTAGGAGTTCCAGTAAAGTTCCTGCTTTCGGAACGCGAATTAATGGAACCGTTCAGGCATCATCAAAAATTCCATCCCTACACTTGCATCAGGACCCTGGAGATCCAGCCGATATGTGCCGCAAATCAGCGTGCCGCGCTTAACGCCCCTAGCCATAGCTGGAACCAGGCCTTGCATCCGTCCGATCCTGCCTGATCATTAGTAGTATTATTACCATGGCTGAGCATCTTCAGCTCGGTCGGCTTGCGACCTTGAGGCTCTCCGGAGCATCACCTTCTCACGAATTCGGATCCGTAAATACAGGAACCGACATAAACACAGGCGCCGCCATGACAACAGACGAGAATGACAGCCGTGTCCCTCTGCTGAGCGACCCGGAAGCAGACAGGCGTTCAGACGAGTACGGCGCAACTGGGCATAATAAATCCTCGGCCGAGACTACGACCGACCACGATGAGGCCAGCGATGACGAAGACGACAATGTCTCCGACTCTTCAGACAATGTTCATGGAGGTGTAAAGCAAGCTGATGCTATTAATCTGGTTTGGTCACGGAGTGCGCTGATATTGGCCTACTTTTTGTGAGTAATACTCTTGCTAATTATTGCCATGTTATTTTTCATTGCCATCTCCTCAACAAACAGTGGCGACTAATATCCCGCAAGCATCTTTTTGTGTTCATTTGCCCAGGCATTACAATGGCAAATTCTATCCAATCTCACACCTTACGTCACTAGCGAGTTTTCCTCGCATTCCCTCATTCCAACTATTAGTCTGGTCGCTTCTATATTGAGCGGTACCCTCAAATTGCCCATCTCCAAAATTATTGATGCCTGGGGTCGTCCTCAGGGGTTGGCGGCCATGATACTCCTGGCCACCATTGGCTTGATCCTCATGGCCGCCTGCCAAGACGTCAAGACGTATGCTGCTGCACAAGTACGTTCAACTCCTAATCTGAGCATGCATTCAATATGTTGATCTCCATAATAGGTCTTTTACGAAGTGGGCATCAGTGGCTTCTCATATGTCTTGAACATTATAGTTGCAGATACATCGTCGATGAAGAACCGAACCCTTGCTTTCGCCTTTGCTAACCTGCCGAGTCTGGTGACAACCGTCATCGGTCCCCCCATTGCCAAGGCCTTCCACGAGCGGAGCAGTTGGCGATGGGGCTTTGCGACTTCCGCCGTCCTATTCTTCATCCTGTCGATACCTATTCTGGTACTCCTGATGATCAATGCGCGCAAGGCCGTTCGGCTCGGACTATTGAAAAAGGAGAAGAATGAGCAGAAGTGGACGGTGGAGGGCTTCCTTCACCAGCTCAGGGAGTATGATGGTAAGCAGGGACCATTTTGATTGCGCAGCTTGTATCTAACCATGCTTGCAGCTATCGGGCTGTCCTTGGTGACGTTCGGCCTCACGTTCGTATTCGTGCCAGTGTCTCTCGGTACTGGCGCAGCAGGCATCTGGACTCTTGCTATGCTGATAGCCGGTGTGGTCATGCTGGTGGCGTTTGTGTTCCATGAAAAATACTATGCGCCACGACCAGTCATTGCCTTCTCGCTTCTCTTCTCGCGCAACGTCGCTGGATCATGTCTACTGTCGATTGTACTCTTCATTGCCTACTTCGCGTGGGACTCTTACTACTCATCCTATCTCCAAGTCGTCCATGGTCTGTCCATCACTGAGGCTGGATATATCAACCATATTTACGAGTTTGGATCGACGCTGTGGGGCGTCGTCGTGGGCTACCTCATCAAGGTCTCTGATCGCTACAAGTGGCTTGCCTTGTTGGCACTTCCCGTCCACATTCTCGGAGGCGCATCATTGATTCTGTTCCGTCGACCCGAGACTGAGATTGTCTATTTGGTTCTCGCGCAGGTCATGCTCACGATTGGTGGTAGTACTCTTGTACTATGTGACCAGATAGCAGTCATGGCAGTTAGTAGCCATGAGGATCTCGCCTCTGTCATGGCGATTCTTTCCGTTTCCTACTATGTCGGCTCCGCCGGCGGCAATGCACTCAGCGGATCGATCTGGAACAGCGTTCTACCAAAAGCGTTGGCTGCAGCTCTGCCAGACATGCCCAAGGCTGAGTTGAAGGCGCTCTGCTCAGATCTCAACAAGCAGCTCAGCTACCCGATTGGAACTCCAATTCGTGATGCAATAATCTCTGCCTACAGCACAGCCCAAGTCAGGATGTGCATCACCGGAGCAGCCGTCTCGCTCATCCAGATCATTGCCGTGGCCATCTGGCGAGACGTGAGAGTGAGCAAAGTGAAGCAAGTCAAGGGCAAAGTCGTTTAAGCTTTGACTGTTTTACGCGCTACAGAAAGACTCATTGCAATCATCTAGATTTGTTGGACTGTCCAACATTGTGGATCGTTTCTGGCTTCACCATATCATTATTGAGAAAGCAGCACATGGGCAGATGATAGATCATTGTCGGCGTTTTTGGGCGTTTTGGAACTTTTGGGCAGCAGCTTTGGTGGATATCACAAGAGGTCATCGTGGTCATATGGCGATCGGTTTGCATTAGTTCCCTTGTTTAGTGCCCGAGAAACCTAAGCTTTTCGGTGCGCTAACAGAAATCTTGATTTTCCCGGGTCCAGGTCGGTGAGGAGGATCAGCGGGATGGAACAGAGACAGAGACAGAAACAAGTAAACAAAAGAATTCACCATCTATGCAGTTCATGATGCACAATTGAGTATGTATAGCTTCAACAGTGGCAATGTGTATGTACTCGGATCAAGAAGAGGGCCGAATACCAAGTGCTAGGCTTTGACTCATCGTTTGCATTTTAATCAGATGGATTGTCATGCGGAAAATATCCTCCCTGTTACCGATGCATTTAGCCGAATTCATAATTGAGCGGGGACTACTCCACTTGCGGGTCTTTGCATATGCATCTATACAGCAGATGGGTACGTACCCTTTGAATGTCCTTCAATGTTCTGCTTACAACGGACCACTACGTACACATACATAAGACTGCCGGTCTCGCAGACGATGGAGCGCGTCATTTCCGAGCCATTGGACGCCATTGATCATAATCTTATCTGATGGAATTGATTAGATCTTTACGCTCCACACCACCCCTTCGTTCATCCCTGTGACTTTGCATCACTAAAGAAGTTTTTTTTTCTTTCCCTCTATGCACACACTCCTCACTCTCTCTCACTTTCTCCTCCCCGGGTTCCCGGTCGCCTAGTGGTCCCTCACATCGCTTGAGGATCACCAGGGCCGGCGGCAGGCGACAAGACTGGAGCCAAGCCAAGCTTTAGTCGACGCCGCCCACGATCAGGTAGGTAGGTAATTCGCGAAGTGCAGTTACGTACCGTCATGTACACGCGCGGAACAGGGCACGATCTCCTTACCCTCGTGTTCCTTAGACAACTGAGCAGAGGAGGCAAAAAGCCACCCCATCATTTCCTCTTCAGGCAGTTAGCAAATGGCTCGTTCCGAACTTTCAAAAACCCAAAGACCGCCCTACCGAGGCTCTCTACGCCTACGTACATGGTATGCAGTAGTGTAGGTAGCCTCGCCACGACTCGGAGACGACGTCGTTTTGGGCCTGGTCGTGTCTGGCCTTCTCCTACAAACCGGATGGATACCTACAGTCCTACGCAATTGCACTGCGTCTCCCTCAGGTAAGAAGGGTTCCATCAAACGTGTGGAGGTCCCTACCTAGCTCCCGAAAAGCTCCATCATCAGGCCACGGCCATGGAATTCCTGGGAGAGCGAGAAAAAAAAAAAGCCCCCCTTCGGAAAACAAAGTTGTTTTGCACGTCAAGGTGCTCCGATTTTTTTCTTTTCGGATTTCACAAGTATAGCTCCGAGGACCTACCATGATGTTGAGCCGGTGACGCATGATTGATTTTCTTTTTTGTTTTCTGTAATCTCCTTCTTCATCGAAAAACACAAAGTAATAGACACAATGGCTACGCAGCCCGTAGAGTCGTCGTACACACCAGAGCCCTTTGTCGAGCGGCGGAAGCTCTCCGTCCTCCATGGCCCAGTCGATCCCCCACTGGTAGACCTCACTTTGGGCGAGCTGCTCGAACTCCAGTGCCAGCACCACGGCACGCAAGAGGCTTTGGTCACTCCGTGGAACGGAACGCGATGGACCTACAATGAGCTCAACCAGCAGAGTGGTCAGCTCGCACGGGCATTAATGTCGCTTGGAATCGGTGTTGGTGACAGAGTTGGTGTCATGGCTGGCAACTGTGCTGAATATGCTGCCATTTTCTTTGCTGTTGCACGGATTGGTGCCATTTTGGTTATCCTCAACAACACATATACTCCGACAGAAGCACAGTATGCTCTCAAATTCTCAGGTAGGGTTCGGTCCCGGTCCAAAGTCTGCTGATCTTGCTGACACGGGAGTCAGACTGCAAGGTCTTTTTCACACAAAAGAAGATTGGCCGCGTTGACAACTCAAGACTCCTGGCCGAACTGGACGCCCAGTCGACCAAGCCTAGCGTAGTCATCATCAGAGGAGAGGCTGGCGCGTACCCAACATATGCCGAACTTATGAAGCGAGGCTTGAAGGTCAGCCAAAGCGACCTCTACCGGCTGGGAAGAAAAGTCCTTTCGCACAATGTGTGCAACCTCCAGTTCACGAGCGGTACCACGGGCCTGCCAAAGGCTGCCATGCTGACTCATCACAACATTGTCAACAACTCGCGCTTCATCGGCGACAGAATGCGCTTCGGCCCCGATGACGTTCTCTGCTGTCCGCCACCGTTATTCCATTGTTTTGGACTTGTGCTTGGCCTGATGGCCGTCATCACCCATGGCGCCAAGATTGTCTTCCCCGAGGAGGTCTTTGACCCGGCTGCTGTGCTGCGCGCCATTTCAGATGAGCAGTGCACGGCATGCCACGGCGTGCCAGCCATGTTTGATACCCTCTTCAGCCTCCCCCTGCCGCCAAACTTCAACTGCGACAGACTGAGGACGGGCATCGTTGCCGGTGCGCCGGTTCCTCGGTATCTGATGGAGCTGATGGTCGAGCGCTTTGGCATGACCGAGTTCACCAGCAGCTACGGCTTGACTGAGGCGTCTCCCACATGCTTCAACGCCTTCACCGATGACGGCATCGACAAGCGTCTGACGACTGTCGGCACTTTGATGCCTCATGCTCACGCCAAGATCGTGGACCACGAGGGCAATATTGTCCCTGTCGGCACTCGCGGCGAGCTTTGCATTGGCGGCTACCAACTGCAGGCGGGATACTGGAACAACTCGGAAAAGACATCTGAAGTGATGATGCGTGACGAGGCCGGTGTCTTGTGGCTGCACACTGGTGACGAGGCAGTATTTGACGAGGACGGATACTGCTCAATCACGGGACGCTTCAAGGACATCATCATCAGAGGTAAGGTTCCACTTCTCCGCAAGCATTGGCAACAATCGACTAACCTCTTTTAGGTGGCGAAAACATCTACCCTCTGGAGATTGAGGAGCGCTTGATGGCACACCCCATAATCACAAAGGCTATTGTCACGGGTCTCAAGGATGCACACTACGGCGAGGTCGTGGCCGCCTTTTTGGAGGGCGATAGCAGCAAGAATGGTCAGCGCCCCAGCGACCAGGAGATGCGGGATTGGGTGCGACAAAAGCTCGGAAAACACAAGGCGCCGGCCCACGTCTTTTGGCTCGGCGAGGGCGGCGTGCCCGCCGACGTGCCCCTCACCGGCAGCGGAAAGGTCAAGAAGTACGAAATGGCCAAGTTTGGAGAGGAGACACTTAGAAAGAGAAGACTCGAAAAGCTATAAAAAGCAGGCGCGCGCGAAAGAGGAAGGAGAGGACAAAAAGAAAAGTTGGATACCCTGAGAATGACTAGTATACGTAGAGCAGCATCATCTTGCATTTAGACGACCATTATCGACATTTTATTGACATTTTGAATAAAAGTTTTTTGAGTACAACTACTCCTTTATTCGTTTCAATCCACCAAGGGCATGATCATAGAAGTCTACATTCGAGTGGTGGCTGAAACTTGGTCTTGTAAGCAACACCAATTGGCCCATAATGCGCAAACAAGTTTTGTGGAAATACTTTATCACCATGTATCGTGTGCAACAATGATTTTACATGTTCCTTTCATATGGTTCTTGGGCACTGTTCATTTGAAGTTTCACGAAATCAACGCAGTATGCTCTCTTTTGCCTTTGCCATTTCTCCCACGTATTCTATAGGTAAAGGAGTTTTTTTTTTTTCTCTTTTTCTCTTTTTCTGGTAACAGTCTACTATTCCATCTTCCATCACGCGGTAATATACTGAGGCTAGAATACTTGGTCCAATGTAAACTACCTCCTCCTAACATCACTTACTTATACGGCAGCCGAAGTGGTGCAACTAGCAATACGCCATGTCATCCAAACCAGCAGCCGTACTATTTGAACAGGTGAGTCTCAACAACCTTTACTGTATGGCATGTAACTCTTTTCGACCGTGTGGTAGACTCCGTACTGGCGGAGTAGGCGCTTGACCTGGAAGCGGTTGACGCTGTCCATGTCGGTGTAGTAGCACTCAAAGCCGAACGCCTTGTTTTACGCTTTCGTAGTCTTTCACTGAGTCAAGGCAGCACTGAGTCTGCGTGTGCGCCTTCTTTTTTTTTTTTTTTTTTTTTTGCAAATGCGCAGTTCCCAGTCGGAGTAAGGGATTGCAAACGAGGCTGCCACCGTAGCGCGCCAAGCGCCATTCGGGGGAATGAGAAGATCATCGTTGTAATCTGCCTGTTAAGCGTGGAAGTATCAGTATTGGCCATGAACTATTTTAATCGGGAAGGATGAGTGCTTACTGGGTCTCGACGGGCATGATCCTGCCATCCATGGTGGCAGCAGCAGCAGCAGCAGCAGCATCAGAAGGATAGCCATAGGCAGTGGCGTTGCGACTGAAGACGACAATATTGCCGTCAATAGCAATGCTCAGGTGGCTCGGTAAGCGACTTCTGCTCAATTGCCGTCTTGGTGGTACCCTCAGCCTTGTCGGTCATTGCCTCCGGGACTAATTGTTCGTCCGGAGATCATTATAGAGTTTTCTAAACTCCCAACCCGTGTGGACTTGGGTTCTGTGGCCTTGACAGAGGTTATTCGGTGTAAGTACTCCGACAATTGTGCAAAGGTGATTATTGCTTTCAATGGTTGTAGTTGCGAGTCTCCGTCCGACGTGAGTGCTTGATGAAAGCTGTGATTGGGACGAACGGCGACAATGATTGAATGTGCAGGTTCCTCACAGGGAAGGTGGGGGAGGGGTAGATTGCAACCGCCTCTTGCAGTGTTGCCGGCGTCTTTGCAAGAGGGGCGACGACTAGGTTCTGGATAATTGGAAGGTGGGGTGAAACTTCATTCCTGCCATCGTGACGGCAGCTGATACTGGCCGTGATGGAATGTGCTTGGGAAGTGATGACGCCATTTCTGTCCGCAAGGTCGAATTATGTCTCTGCAAATGATAGTGTAGATGTAGGAAGATGCGATGAATGACGTGCAGATACGATGAAGCTCCCGAAGATGCGACCAAAAAATACAAGGCAGAAGCCCAGTATTCAAAGATGCGACGGAAGAAGAAAAGGCAAGAGCTAAAGAATAAAAGGTAGTGCTGGAAGAAAACACCAGAGGACGTGTGGGATTGTGAAGCCACAGATGGGAAGTGAAAAGGAAAGGGGGGGAAAAAAGAAAGCTTTGCACTCCCGCACTGGGGTCAGGTTTTATAGATGTGTGCCGGGCCTTTGTGACCTCAGAATCACCCCCAGCAACGACGACAAACGAGATCAGGCCGGGCGGGCGCGCAGAGATCATTGTGGCCCACCGCCGCTCTCGCCGTTTGCTTTGAAGGATCAATATTGGCGGGAACAGATGTTGTGGCGGGTGCCAGTCATTGTTCTCTCCAGCTCGATCGTTGATTGCCCGTCCAAGATCCGACAATATTAGTACGGTCTTTATTGAGCGAAGCATCGCTAATCTTCTTGGTACTTCACGTCGACGTCTTCGACGGCTGATGCTTCAAGTAGTTGTCATATTCCGAGATTATCTTGAATATCATAATCCATCACAGCTGAAATATTGTTCTGTTCATGTACTTGTTTTATTTTCTGGAGTGCAAGAGGTCGCGATGTTCTTTTGTCATCGTGGCCAGATACTTGAGAACACTTGCCAGTTCACAAGGCTGTGTTATACTATCAATGTGTTTTCTAGCGGTCCTGATGTTCCACGACTGTAGTCCAGTTGTGTAAGTCGAAATTACCGCACGAACTGGCTGACAAGGTGGTATTCGCCGCCGAAGGGTATCAAGGTACCAACCTCTACAAATTCCAACGAGCCAGGTATGTAGGAGACTCTATGCCTCTGGATTTCTACAGCGCTTGAGGTGTCTGACTATTTCCTGCAGACCCTGGTTGCCATGCAATGATTTTGTCTATGCAGCGCAGGGTCTCATGCTCAACTGCTCAAGTGTTGAGCTCTAAAATAAGGTGAACCTCTCCTTTGATTGCCCCCATTCTCCGTCATTTCTCCCAGTAATGACTTCGCCTCGCATGACCCCGTCGATGTAACACTCTCCAATCAGCCTATGCTTGCCCTCAGACTCTCTCACTATGTAAGGAACTTGCCCACCAAACAGCAAGACTATACTATCGCCCTCCTTGATAAACTCGGGTCCAACACCAACCCGACCTTCTTCAGTTGTGAAAAATCTCCTACCTTTGCATGCATGCACAAAGGCCTGGTGGAAGCGACCTGCATCTGGTTTCTTGCCATGAAACCATTTCCCGCTCGAGGTGACAACCGTCGGCAGACTTTTGCCGAGATATTGTGAAAACCACTGTGCAGCATCGGCCAAAGCCTCATCAGTATCCTCCCCCCATGGATTTGGACCTTGAAGACCTATCGTGATTGTGTATATAAACGAGCGTAAAAGGTCGCGCATTCCCGAATTCTGAGAGACTTGGGTGCCCGACTCTCGACTTTTCATAATCCGCCAAGCTGTGCTGACAAAGTCCCGTTCCTGCTTATCCGGCACGAATCCAAAACCGCTGCCTTTCAATTTGTCTCCGTAGATGCGGACAGTATCGATTCTGCACCCCTCCAGGACGAGAACATCATCATCTCCGCTAAGATCCATGGTCAGAGCTTCGTCGCCGCTCGCTCTAAATAATGTTTGTTGTCGCGATCGCCAAATCTCGGAGGATGGCTTGGTCAAGCTCCAGTCGGGCACCCAAGACGGCCAGTTGGATCGGTCTGCCGAGTAGCCATTGACGTGGGATAAAACAATCAAGGAGCCATACTCGATGATCAAAAACTTTGCCAAATCGCGATACACTGTCTTGACAGATTTGGTGTAGTCGGGCTCTAGTAATGCATGTATGCCTTTCTCTTCAATAGACTGGGTCTCCTGCGCAAGACCAAAGGTGGCGTACAGCTTGTCCACGGCCTGCGTGGCCGCGCGACAACGAAAGTCCTTCAAGATATCCAGAAGAGCCAGGCGTTTGGTCGGCCGCTGGTGCATTTTCCACATGTTGGCCGCGTCGGCCAGTGGTTGCAGATGTGGCGCATCAGCAGGTGCTTCTCGGATCCCCTGAGGCATTCCGTAACCCTCTCTGGCGTACCAAGCCGTAGCCTTCCCAATGGCATCCCAGTCAATGTGCCAGTCGCCCTGGATGACGATGGCTTTCTTGGCCAGCACAATCTCTTGTACTACCCAGGTGCGTTGAAACCAAGCATTGGTCAAGAAACCCCGAAAAATGTCCCATTCTGAAGCTGTGGGCTTTGGTAGACCATGAAGCTTGCTTCGATGGGCATAGTCGTGCACTGGCCGGAGGGACGCTAGGCTGGTTTCCTGCGCCTCGATATTTCGGAGTGCTTGCTCGAGAAAAACAAGCACCACCGGTACATTTCCATGATCAGTCAATCTTGGTACGCCGAGGCCGAGGGCTTCTTCACCGAGAAAGACTTTTACTACTGATGCTTTTTGATAAATCTCGTGCATCAGCTTGACTTGACTTGCTCTCTCGTCTGGGTCGTCTTGATTAATGCAGATGGAGTCGATCCATACAGGCTTCCACTGGGAGTGCGTATTCATCCTAGTCTCGCTTCTGTTCCGTGCAAAGTTCCGCCAGGCATTCCGGCTAGAGTGCAATGGATGGTCTTCGGGCCATATCGATACTGAATCCCAGTCGACAAGTGGTCGCAAGTGTCTCAGAGCAACTTCGAGGTTATGAGAAATCACCTTGCTGATTCCATTGCATGTAATGGCGCGTGACGACTCGGTTCCCCAGCTTAAAAGACGGAATGTGTCAGATTCATTCTTTGATGCGAAAGCAATGGGTTCATGGTACACAGTATCGAGTTGCATCTTGTGGACAAATGGAGAAATATTGAAAAGCATGGGCGTAGGGAATCAATCAAACACTAAAAGCTAGAATACCACCTACGTGGGCTACTTACACATACGATAGGGCCTCAAAGTCAGGCAAATGTTCAAGATCCACTGCTTGTATGAGAGTGCACTCAATGTCCTCGTCGGAAAGTCCAGGCTTTATCAGCAGTAAACGTAGCGAATTCCCATTCAAAGGCTCGTAAATACTCCGTTCAGCTTGCATATTGGTAGGTGACCCTGAATGATCTGGCGACAGTAATGTTTAGCAGGTTGTGTACAATGTTGTTCACGCCAAGCTCCATCCCACCTGCTCTTGTTGTTTGATGGAGAGGAAATAAGAAGAGGGAGAAAAGAAAAGTCGATGGCCAGGATTGATATCTGGCCCGGCACTTGAGGGATTCCTTGCGCGAGGCAGTGTACTCGGATGTGCTGTCGTGGTGAGTCTGCCTCGTCCTGCGCCGCACCGTAAGACTGACAGGGGCTGGAATCCACCGTCATCACCAAGGACCTTGACAGCGCTCGCATCGTACGTGACAAATCCTGCTCACTCTCAGCCGCATTGCTAGCACTTCAGGCATCCATTGCTCGGCCTTGATCTGAAACGACCAAAATTCATTCCATCTCCTCGAGACAAAACACCATGGGACTGACTACACGAATCAAAAAGGATCTCGAATTGAAAAACTTCAGTGAGTAACTCCTATAGGCTGATTGCCTAAACTGCAAGGGGAATGATCAAGGCTAAAAGTAAAGCTCAGCGGTCCATGCGCAATGGTAAATAAAATATTGTCCCCTGCACCCTCTTTTCCTCCGGCAACTGACATCTGCAAAGGCTTGGCATGTTCGCAGCTGTTGTTCATGCCATAGGGGCCCTTCGATTGCTCTACATGGCTTTCAAGGCAGACCGGTACGCTGACTGGTGGGCTGGTGAAATCTCCATGAACCTACCGTGGTCTTTCAGGCTCGCCTGGACCTTGACCGGATATCTCAACCTCATGTGAGTTTCTCTGACAAGGGGCCATCATTCTGAAATCGCGCGGGGGGAGCTAACAAGAGACCTTGCTGTAGGATATTGCCATTGGGTCCCATCGTTGTGGAAGTACCATGTTTATACTTTCGATTTCCCTGGTTCGTCACGGGCTTTGCGAGCTGGGAGCTGTTTGCCCTTTTCCGGCGGGCAGGTGTCGATTACTGGGGGTTTTTCGCGCACACGCACCTCGCGCTCCAAATATGGAGCATCGTTTTCATGATATTGGATAATCTCGCGATGGGAGTGCTATATCGATTTCTGCCCCATCTTCGCCGTATCAATAATAGTCTGTCTGCAACTCCGAAGATGGTATTTTATGCAGCGTTGACGGTCGTTCTCATCCTCACGTCCAGGTACAGCCTTTATTGGAGGGCGAGCGCCGGCCAGTCGATACTGGTGGCTGCTTATTTCCTTTATGGATCTACATCCATTTTGTATGGTTACGCTTGGTATCGGGGACAAGGCGTCGTGTCCAGTCGAGTCCTTGGTGGTTCTGGGGTTGAACCAATCGCTCTGGCATTCCCCGGCCTGGCCTCGGGGCCGATAGCAATTTAGAAGCAAGAATTGATTAAATGAGATAGACTTTATAGAGTTGTAACTTGGCTGAATTCATGATAGACTTGCACTTTGACCAGAATGTGCACACGGATCAGAAGCATCACACGCCATTTGCTTCCCGAGTGACGATGACAGCAGCCAAGGACTAGCAAGACTTTATATACGTGCACGAGTCTTTGTATCAGGGGGAAAATGCAGCAAGTTCAAATCTGGCAGAATTGTTAAGATAAAAGCCTTTTATAGAGTTGTGCCTTATTGAGTTTGAACCATCAAACAGTGAATCGATGGATCCTCGAAAACCCTGTGCAGAAATACACAGCGCAACACCTGATTGGTGGAATACGACGGAGCCCATCTACCTCTAGCATACCATAGTGCTGGGAAATCTCTCCCCCCAATGACATAGTTGTGCGTCGGACCTATGGTCTAACCCACTATGGGTCAACCAAAGTCTTTACTTATCTCTTCCTTGTCAAATGTTCCCCGCACAATCTCGTCGACACACACCTTTTCCTGCCACCGGAAATAAGGTCGACGATTTTTCCCAAGAGGCCTCTTTCGGCATTCTACCCGGGGAATATTATTCTTGTCACTGTTGATTGATCGTGGTTGTAGGTGTTGTTGTTGTTGTTGCTGCTGCTGCTACTGCTTCGTGACCTTTGATATAAAGCCAAGACCAAACTGTGGAGTGGAGTTATGCCTTCTCATTCCGAAATCAAAGACCCCAATGCTTTTCCCACCGTACAACTCACAGTCCTAGGTATGCATGTATCTCTTTGCTTTGAATTTGATTTTGAGGGGTCACCTACACCGACATTTCAAATCTCACGATACTCTTCTGCGTTTCAAGACTGACCAGTTTTCGGAATACCAGCAATATGTCGCTTTTCAGAGCCAATCGCCTTCAACTCGATTCTCGCCTACACATATGTGATGGTACAAGACCTCAATGGCGGTGACGATACCGATGCATCCTTTTATGCCGGCCTCTTGGTCTCGGCGTACGCCGTGGCCGAGGCCCTGACCTCGATGGGCTGGGGCATGCTGTCTGATCGCGTCGGCAGAAAGCCCGTTGTCCTCTTTGGCCTCGTGGGCGTCGCCATCTCGAGTCTCATCTTTGGCTTGGCCAAGAGCTACTGGGTCGCGCTGCTGGCCCGCTTCATTGGCGGCGCGCTCAACGGCAACGTCTCGGTCATGCAGACCATGGTGGCCGAAATGGTCAAGAATCCCGCCCACGAGCCCCGGGCCTATGCCACGCAGCCCTTTGTCTGGACCCTCGGTGGTATCATTGGATCCGCCATGGGCGGTTTCCTGGCGCAGCCCGCGCGTTTCTACCCTGGGCTGTTTCCTGCCGACGGCCTGTTTGGCAGGTACCCGTACCTGCTTCCAAACCTCGTTGCTGTCGCCGTCATTGTCTTGGCCGTCCTGCAGGGTATCTTCTTCCTCGAGGAGACAAACCCCGTGCTCAAGGAGGTGGATGACAATGCCGTCGAGGATAGTGACATGGATGAAACCACGCCACTCAACGGCGCTCGGCAAAGGGGTCCGCGGGCTAGTACCATAAGCGAACGGCCGCGCTTTGCCGAGGACAGCCTCCCCCTCCCCGTGGAGCAGAATTTTGATCTGAGACGATCTTCCTTTGGTACTGTCCACTCGATCCGGCTGCCAGCAGACGCGCAGCCCAGTGCAGTGCGCGCCGACGGTCGCCCTGCCCCGCCGAGCCGCGCGCTGAGCACGCAGAGCTTCAAGGGCAAGACGTTCAACTTTACCATCATCATGGTCACCGTTGCGCTGGTCATCTTCTCGTACCACCAGATGGCTTTTTGCACTTTGTTGCCGACGCACCTGCTGGACAAGCCTCAGCAGCCGAGGGGCAAGCTCGATCTAATGGGAGGGTTGGGCTATACGGTACACGACGTGGGTGTGTACCTGGCCGTAAACGGCATCATTGGGCTGTTCATTCAGGCCGTCATCTTTCCTCTGTTCGTCGACCGGATCGGCGTTTGGAGATCTTTTGTGCTCATGATTGTCTTCTACCCGGCTGCCTATGTGCTCAACCCCTTCCTGTCGGCTTTTCCCGACTGGCTCGTCTCGCCCGGTATCTACCTGTCCATGGTATTGCAGAGCTTCTTTGGCATCATTGTAGGACCCTGCGCCCTGATTCTACTCAAGAACGCCACGCCGTCTCCGGCTGTGCTCGGCAAGGTCAACGGGTTCGCCATGGCGGCCTGCTGCCTCGCGCGCACCGTCAGCCCGCCACTCGTGGGCATCATCTACGCCGCTGGTGGCTCGGCAGCGGCCTGGTTCAGTTGTGCTGGCATCGCCATTGTGGGCATTGTGCAGGTCATTTGGGTACCCCGGAAGCACGCTGTCGAGCATGTCGAAGTTGACGCGGCACTCTTTGAATAAACTCCCAAGATTGGGGGTCCTATATGAACATGGACTGCCCCTTTGGTATAGATTGCCTCTGGCGCTGTGAGATTGAAAGTCGGGATCTTGTTACGGACGACTGCATTTTGCTTACTTATATACGTCTGTGACATTATTGTCCAGAGTATCAGGAAACATTTATCGGTGGAATCGGGTATGTTTCATTCGGCGCTCTGTTTTTGGTCACGTGGGCATATTGGGATCGTTTAATGAATACTTGCCTACATCTTATAGCATCAGCACGCATCAAAGTTTCAGGTTTTACATGGGTACCTTATTATAGAAATACGATTTACTTTTTGAGCCAATACAGCATTAGTCCGGCATTGAGAAATGGGGTCTAGGTGGAAACCGGCCCACATTCTACAGAGTATAATGGACATAGTAGGGACCTGACTGACTTGGTATGCGCTGAAGCCAGGGGATTATCACATTGCCATACTATCGCCACGGTATTTCCAGGGTGTCATTGACATGTCGAATGCGCTAAGATTGGGAATGATTTCTTGATTAATATATTGATCATCATATTATTATTGCAAATGCCCATCCCGAATCGGCTGTATGTGACTGTTTGAGGCCGCTTTTGAGCCAACAAGTGTGCTCGAATAGGGAGTCCCCATCGACGTAGCCCCATCCGCACCCGGTGCACCCGCTGGTGCCTGCGCAGTTGTCCATACAATCCGCCATGCTGTTTGTTTGTACGCTCCCCAGATCGGTGGCCTCGTCGTCCCCGCTATAGTCTATTCCGCAGAGGTGAAGGAACTGGACAGTCGACCCCGGCACAGTGTATGTTGTTCCATTACCGGCCGGACAATCGACGCCTCCTGTCGAGGTCGCTGTGGCAGATGTGGATGTCGTCGTCGTCCCGGTCGTCCCCGTTTGTGTTGTAGCAGTGGCTACTGCCGATGAAGCAGAACTATCCGTGCTGTTCCCTACGCCGCCTGACGTCGAAGTATGTGATGTGCTGTTTGCTTTCGCTTGGCTTACACCGACTGCCACGCCGATCACGATTCCCAGTATGACAACTGCCGCAACGGCCAAAAGACCCCAGAACCACCGTTTTTGCAGCCCAAATATCCTCCCGTCTCCGTTTCTTCTATTCTTTCCGCCCGGTGGAATCGGAAACATGCCATTGCCGCCTCGGCGTCCTGCCTCTTCAGGATCGGGAGTCGCCGGTGGCGTCGGGTCGCGCAGCCATGAGTGTTGTACGGGCGCCGGTTGTTTTAGCGACGACGGAGAAAAGGACGTGAGCGAAAAGCGCGGCGACTTTAGGTTGAGCAGCTCGAATCGCGATCTCAAGTCTTCCTTTTCTTGCTGCGCCTGCTTGAGCTCCGTAAGCGACGGAGTCCTCGGGATCAGAGGTTGCTGTCCCTGGACAGAACCTAGGGTGCCGGATCGGTACGGTTTCATTTGCGCGACGAAGCGGGCAGCAAGCGCAGTGCTCGCTTCCCTGATCTTTTTGGCTTGTTCCTTATCTCTGCTCTCTGGCTGTTCTCGCTTGCTAGTGGGGGGTTGGGCGGCCTTGTCGCACTGAATAAGAAAAAGAAAACGTCGATTCTTTTTAGCGACTAGCAGCGACGCGATACGGGGGTGTCCTCTTTCGATACAGCAGGTTGACGATAGCGAAAGTCTGCAAACATGCTTGCACAATTGATGTATGTGAAATAAAAATTAAAGATGATTACTTTCCACTGGCCATTGGGAAAGAAAAGGGCAAGGAGAGAAAAATAATAGAAAAGTTCCTCCCTCCCCCGGCATCAGCCAAGCCAACACAAAGCTGCTCTACCGCTCCTGCGAGGGAGTAAGTACGACATAGTCCTGCGGTGCCGTCAAATGGATGTGTGATCCTGACGCCATTTGGCTGCAAGCCCATCACAGCGCAATTTCTCGTCGTGGTCGTCGGTCAGCGCGCTAACTGCTGTTGTGCAGACGGGTTTGGCGGGCTGGCGGGATTGCATGCTTTAGGTTCCTCTTTACTGCCTTTTCGGTAGGCCAGTGTAGGGGCCTGGCCCCCCATTGGCAGGGGCCTTTGACGTCCTTGGCCAGCTTAGCCAGGGCAGCTTGTGGGTGTCCCTGGGCGCCTTTACTGCATCGGGCGAAATTGGGCTCGGAAGCGAGGGCCTTGGCCGCCTAGCGACAGCAACTATTGATCGACGGATTAAGCATGGTTCGCCGGCCTGGGAAATGGGAAATCACCACAACCGTGGTTCGTCGGCGATAGCTTCAGCGAAGAAGTTTTTCAGGGTCCTCGAATGTTTGTCACGTATGTTTGTTGACTATAATAGTCCATCTAGCACTACACTTTTGCCATTCCGATCTGGGTGATTCTTTTGGTCGTCCTCATATAAGTTGCGCAATCATGTGGCGTCTTGCCCTTTTGTGTTGTGCCGTTGCTGTTACACTGTCCGCTGCATCTTTGCGCGCGATTCTGCAGTATGATGTTGGTTGGGTGGATGATAATAGCTGTATCATCCCTGACTCGCTGGATCCTCTCAGCAGTATGCAATGCAGTAACACTCACCAACTCCTCCACGGCTTCCGGTCCCTCCCTCTAGCTCTTCCCATAACTGCTGTGCGACACCATCCTCCGAAATAACTTACTACAAAAAAAAAAAAAATAAGAGCAAGAATAATACGTTCAATTCCTACAGAGTGACCATCTACCCATAGGACACAAGCCCATCCTTCCAAGCGACCGTCGGGCTGTCGGAATACTGGTCAGGATATGCCCCAATACTGTGGTAACCTAACCTAGTGCCGACGCCCGAAATTGGCAGCGCAATAGATCGCAACCATGGCTTTTGGTTCCTGATCGACCCAACCCGGAAGCAGTAAAGATTGCTGGTGGTGGTCGTCGTCTTGGGGACTGGTTCATTAAAATGATCTCTACCGAACACCAAAGTTCCAGATACGAGGGCACGTACAGAGCAGTGGCAATCGCAGACTGTGAGCATACCGGCGACGAAAGGCACTTCTAGACTTTTGGTGGCTGTCTTTCTATGACGCGCGCTCGGATCGCATCTTCGATGTCTTGGCCCCAGGGCCACCTTCAACGCCCGGGCCCCAAGCTCCGCCCGGCTCTTCAGGACCCTGTTTTTATTCCCCGAGGCGCGATGTCTTCTCGGGCCTCTTCCACTGTGGCTATGATGGCGCTTTGTTTGTTAGAATGCCAGTGGCGTGACGCCAAAAAGATTAGTATTGAATGTTCACTGCGCACAATCAGGAAAGTCCTATTCTGCTTCTGCTAATCATAAAGCGCAACTTGGTTTGTATTGAAGTCTACAAAGCAGGACTTCAGGCTGCAAAGCCGGCCGGTGGCCGAGTGAGAAATGGCATGCTCACTTCAGCGTGGCATAAATTGAAACCCCATAATCTTCTGCCCAAGACGTTGAAACACCTCTTGGCCTTTGATACATTGCACTGGGTAAGACAAGTCCGCCATGGACGCGAACCTCAAAGGCGTTCAGAGTCTGCGCGACCACTATCGGCCCGCCACTGGATCGTTGTGCTCGTCAGTCGGCTTCCTATTCAACGTCCAGCGTGTTCACATGTTTGTGTAACGAACAGAAAATAAATTTGACCATTTGAGGTAGTCACTCTCCTGCCATTAACCAGGGATCTTGCGTTGCGGCATAGAAGTAAAATGACATTGTTGTCATGCTACCCAGCAATTGCTCTCATGAGCAGCCAAGCAGCGACGCAACAGAGTCTTGATGATTGGCTACTTCGCCGATTACGACACTGGAAACAGCCCATCAAGTGCTCAGTGTCAATTATAGGGTGACAATATGGCGCTGTTGTACTTTCTCATTAGCTTGATGGGTTCATGCTATATCTTGTGCACAACCACAAAGAGGCGTTTGTTGCAGTTGATGCGAATCATGCCAATTCACCACGAGGTTTGCTATGCTACTCTCATTATTTACAAAAAGTAATCTCATGAGCCACTGAAAACTTGTGCTTTTGTCATATATCCTCGGTGATGAACACTCGTCAAAAACCCCCGCCTCCTCATGCCTGTTGGACTACGGAGTGTTCCTGACAACCCAGAACTGGCAAGGGTGTATTCATCACATTGTACATGAAACAATTGTATACATAGACTGACATTTTGGTCATCATTCAGGACATCTTGAATATATCCTGAACGAGCAGAGCTCAGAGTGTTAGTGCTAGATGACTCTGTCTCTCGTAATACAAATATTGAGAAAAGGGTCCTTATTTAACGCATATTTACATGTAGACAGTATAGGAAGAATATAGTCAAGCTTCTCCCTAATTGATATGTTACTCCTCATGTTACTGACGAACCAAAATCTCGAAATAAAATAATCACATTTTGAATCGCTCAAAGAACCTGAGCTCATGATATGACAATGTGCCATGCTTGACAGTTTGTCGATCAGAGAACACTTTGAACTCAATTGAACAGAAACTAGAAATCACCAGAATATGAAAGCAGTTCGCCGGACCGTGCGAATGGACAGCAAAGAAAACAGATGGTGTCATATTGTGGTTCGCCACAGGATACTCATGAGGGAAGCCAAGCATACGATGCCGTTGGATAGAAAGAGCGAACTATCGTGCCTTTTACAAACGGTCTTGGAGGTGATCAGTAGCCAAGTTTGGTCGGAAATCACAGTCTCGATAGAACATCGGTGAGGATATGAATAGCACTTGGATAGCCATGAAAATAAGTTCCCAATATTCACTATCATGCCAATAATTGGGAACAAAGCCCTATTCTTTGGTACACATGAGGTATCTTGAGCGCCTTTTCTCAAGGACATCAGCTTTGATAGCTTCCAGACACCTGCTTTGAAGATTCCCGTATCTCTTGCCGCCGTTTTATCGTTCTCCAATTCTGAGTTGTAAAGCTTGAGATGAGGTCTCGGACGCCGGAACAAAATTCTGTGCATATAATTCTTCTCTGAGAATATAGATATATATTTCACAGGACAACCGTGCTTAAGCCAGAGTATATTAGACCGATTGACGCGAGTATCAGAATATTTTGTATGAGGAGAAGCAGAGATTATAGGTATTTTCGCCTTTATTTAGCCTACAAGTACTGAGAAGGATGCTTTAAATCATCAGTGCGAAGCATTGCTCTGTGGAATGTACCGCCTTGTTGGTCATCTAAGCGTAGATTTCTCATAATTTCTGGTACCATAGTGACTGAGAGTCCGTTTTACATATGAATTGGGTCAAGTCATGAAAAGGTATCAACGTCCGATGTCATTCTGAACACTCCAAAGAGAAGTGATAGAGCAGTCGCACTCAATCGTGCCTTGATCGCTCTTACGATGACTATGATGTCACCACCAAGTAGCGCTGCCTGCCTTTCACATCCTTCTCCAAGTATAATTATTCATCTATGCCTTGGCAATTATAATTCATTGTCTCGGGTTGATATATGAATGATAGTAGCCAGTTTAGGCACGTTAGTCTGTGCAAAGGTCTAATAATCCTTAAATCTAGTGCTGAAGTTGTACTGTGCTCGAACAAAGCTTGTATTCGTGAATGACATCTACCAGAGCAGATGTTCCTAATAAGTGTATGCTAATATAAGTACACTTTTTATTTGTAATAAAAAAAAGTCACAAACATACTTGCGAATGGCGACACAGGTTAGATTACAGTTAGGAATCTCAAAAACTCCCGTATCCTTTTTTCTCTCTTTCGACATGATATCATTCCGCGCCATTCATGGAAACACACATAATCATTGAACCGAGTGAGAGCGTTATGGCCAAAAGTTTGTCATTAGTCCGACAGACCTGATTCATGATGAAAGGGAAGACTAAACTGCCTGACTAGCGTACACAGTAGAGTATGTATGCTAAGTTCAGGAATGACTCCTACAAAGAATATGTACAGTGGATCAGTCTCCGCTAGACACGATCGTCAGGTCCCAAATGAAGAAACCCCATTGCTATGTGCATGAAAATGGACATAGAGGTTACTTGAAACCAAGCCATGATTTGAATGGGGCCGCGTTTTTGTCGAGAGAACGTGGCAATGGTACGCATACCCGTTGGATAAAGTTATGATGGGTGTGGGCGGCAGAAAGTCACCAACCATGCGGATGGCAGGTGGGGTGCAAAGGGATGTCACCCGCTGTTTTATGCTATGCATTTCATTAAGACATGCATGTGTGCGGGTTGCAGCTCACCAATTATGTACATTTCTGGTGCTCACATATATGCCTATAACAGGGACGAGGCACATCTTTGACCGGGGTTCCCTGTTGATGCTCCATCTGATAAAATTTGGCTGGTCCATCGTGGGTCCCTTAGATGGTGCCAAGGTGAGTTATCTGATGCGCTGCTCCACAGACTTCGGGCAAATGCGCAGACCAGACGCAGTCGTCGCACCTCTGTGCTGCTTTACCTTCTCTTTCTCTCATTGACCGTCTTGTTAGACACCTGCCTCGTACCCCTCGTCTCGCCCGCAATTGAGCGAGTGAGGGACAAAAATTACCCCGTGCAATCCCAGGCCCTCGGCTCGCCGCTCTTCTTTGGTCTTTTTTTTCTCACTGTGATTCTTTACGAGGGGCATTTCCTCCGTTAGCCCAATCTGATAAGCGTTACGTATTAGCCGTCACCCAAGGGGGAAAAAAAACAACAACTTGTGCCCGCCTCAATGTCGAGGTCCGAGAAGCCGTTGAGGCCACCACCCGTGGAACAAGTAATGACCATGATGCCACGACACAAGATATGATGAGCATCTGCAAAGGACCCCGATGCCGGTCCCAATGAAGATGTATTCTCTTCTGTCCTCATGACGATCGTGAAACAGAACGGAGCAAGGGGAAACCCGGACTAGTTGTAAGAGCAGCAGTAGCAGCAGCAGAAGCAGAATGAAGGTTTATGTATTTCCCGTCATGTCACCTACCCTCTGCAGGCATATGGGTGCCGGACAAGTGACCCAATGTCACGGTCCCAACGATGCCTTCCCCACACGCTGCTGATCTAGGGCTCAATATACTCTTCTGCTCCTCCCTTCGGCGTGGGTCTGCTTTCCGTTCCTTTGGCCGTATTAGTAGTCGTGCTCAAACTTCCTCCTTGCCAACAACAATCCTACCCTTCTCGCGTGGCTCTTCCCAGATCTTCTCATCCCGCATTGCTCGGCCTGTTATTGCTTCCACTCCGTCCCTACTCAAGCGTATCAGCTTCAACGTACAGCACACCCCGTACCACACAATGACCGCCGTTACCGGAACCGCCGCGAAGCCGTACAAGGTCTTCGTGGCCGGTGGTTGCTACGCCGGCCTCTCTTGCGCCATTCACCTGATTGAGCGATGTGACAGCCGCACCGACAGCCCCATCCACGTCAAGGTCACCATTGTCGACGAGAGAGATGGTTACTGTAAGTTTGCGCTCGCCCCCTGCTGAAGTTCTGAGGAGAATCTACCATAGATGTCGGCTCGTGATCAATGCTAATAATTTGCGCCTCCTCAAGACCACCTGATCGGTTCACCGCTGGCATTCTCGGACAAGAAGTACGCCGAAAAGGCCTGGGTCGAGTACAAGGACGTCAAGATTCTGCAGAGACCCGACGTCGAGTTCGTACACGGCAGCGTGGTCAGCATCGATCCTGCTGCCAAGACAGCCACCATCCGCGAGTCGGCGGACCAGCACGAGCGCACCCAGGAATACGACTTCTTCATTGGCGCCACCGGTTTCCGAAGAGCATTCCCCGTCGTGCCCCAGGCTCAGAGCCGCAAGGCATGGCTCATTGAGGCCAACAGACACATTGATGCCGTGACCTCCTACAGTGATCCCGTCCTTGTTGTCGGTGGAGGTACGCATACAATCTAAAAATCTCATTACATAAGAAATACTAACATGAGATGTCAAAAAAGGTGCCGTTGGTATTGAGATGGCTGCCGAGCTCAAGACTGTCAAGCCCGACATCAAGGTCATCCTCGCCCACTCGCGTGAGAAGCTCTTGTCGGCCGAGCCGCTGCCCGACAGCGTCAAGGACTGCGCGCTGGACCTGACGCGCGAGGCCGGCGTCGAGTGCCTGATGGACCACCGCCTGACGCGCAGCACGCCCATCAAGAACGCGGCGGGCCAGGACGCGTACGAGGTCGAGTTCGAAAACGGCCACAAGCTGACGGCGAGCGCCGTCGTCATGGCCATTAGCAAGTCGGTGCCCTCGACCGACTTCTTCCCCGCCGAGGCCCTGCAGACCGAGACGGGCCTGGTCAATGTCACCAACTCGCTCCAGCTGGCCAACAAGGCCATCCCCCACGCCGACGACCACTTTGCCATTGGCGACCTGATCAACTGGTCCGGCATCAAGCGCTGCGGCTCCGCCATGCACCAGGGCAAGCTCACCGGCCTCAACATCCACCAGATCATGCAACAGCAGCTCCTTGGCACCGAGCCCAAGCTCAACACCATTGACGAGGTCCCGCCCATGATTGGTCTGGCTGTTGGCAAGTCGGCCGTCTCCTATGGTCCGGACGGCATGTCTTCTGGCCCTCAGGTCATGCAGCTCTTCTTTGAGGAGGATCTTGGTTTCAGAAGTAAGTATTCATGCAAATTATTTTTCTCCCTCCTTTTTTCTTCCCAAAATGAACATTTGTGGATTAACAACTGTTTTCTCCCCCCTTAGTCTGCTGGGACCACTTGCGTCTGGGCGGAAGCTTGGCCTAAAAAAGCTTATGAGTGCATTTGGGTACGGCGTTTTTGGATCGATTTACAAGGGTTATATTTTATGAGGTAGACAACCATGTCATCAGGCTGGGCATGAACTTTATTTCCTTTTACCACCCTCAAGTTCCTGTCACATGGGCTGCAATTTTATGAGACTCTTGTAGCACATTTTGGTAGATTGCTGTGACGATAGAAAAGTTTCGCAAAGGAAGAGTTTAACACTTGAGAAGAATGAAGTTGTTTTCTTTTGTTTTTTTTTTATCATGATGACAAAATGATTGTTCCCATTTTTACCTAAACGCCTACTATGTAAAAACGAGAAAAAAAAAAAAAGATATGTACGTGATGACATGCAAGTTATTTTTTGGCCCTTTTCAGTCTGCTTTTGTTCATAGCTTGGGGAGCAATCCGACCATGGTTCCGCCCACGACCTTTTCGCTCTCGGCGAGCGGCGAGAGCTGGAAGAAGCGCTCGCGCGAGCACCGCACGAACGCGGACCGCTTGTGGGGCAGGTCGACAAACTTGTCCAGGCCAAAGCCGTGGATAAAGTCGTAGCCGAGCACGGAGCTGTTGGTGTACTTGGGCTCGCCAACGACAAACATGGTGCGCGGGTCGTCGAGGAATAGGTAGTGCATCAAGCTGGACCACCAAGCCGTCACGCGGTGCGGGCCGCGGAAGCGAATGTCGCCCACCAGCGAGTGTCGGCCTCGGTCAAAGTCGCCAGCAGAGTAGTAGGCGCCCAGGCGGTCCTCCTGTGAGTTTATTTCGTTAGCATGTTTTCATACTACAAACTTTGGGTTTTTGGATTTTGGAAGTATACTAACCTTGCCCCAGTAAACTTCAAAGTAAGCAAAGAAGGTGTCGTCGAATCTGGCCAGAATAGTAACCTGGTGAGGGTCGACGTGCTGCTTCCTCAGGTACTCGCGGTGCTGCTCGAGGGTACCAGTCTCGTTCCAGCCCTGGGAGACGCGGGGGTCGTTCTGCCACTCGTGGAAGAGGCGGAGGTGCTCCTCATTCTGCCAGTCGAGCGCGACCATGGAGAAGTTCTCCTTGAGGTGCGGGATGTAGCGACTGTAGATGACGGAGCCGGGGCGGGGCTTGGCCGGCCGCCGTGGGTGCCAGGTCAGCACCGTGTTGGGCTCGCTGGTCATGGTGTTCTCATACGGCGTCAACGGGTACGATGACAGAGGCTTGGGGGTCTCGGGCTCGTCGTCCTCGGGGATCCAGGCGGTGCGCGGGCCAAAAGGCGAGCCGGCGCCCTGCCAAAAGGTGCTGCGCAGGAGCAGGAGCTCGTCCTCAGCCGTCTCGGGGTTGGCGGGGTGGTCGATGGCGAGCAGGACGCTCTTGAGCTGCGTGGCCAAGCTCTCCTTGCCGGCTCCTTCCAGAGTCAGGCGGCAGTATTCCATCTGCGGCCGAACCGTGAAGAGAATATACACAAGAAGCCATGCCTGGCCCAAGGTGGGAGCTTCTGCGCCCTCCCACAAAAAGGTTGAAGAGGGCGATCGTCGAGCACGACCCCAGGGAGTGTTGTTGGACTCGGCCGGCCTCTCGCTCGACTTCAAGTCTGTCGGCTCGGTGAAGAAGAGGGAGGTGTTGTGAAGAGGCTCTGGCAGGTCCTTGCCATTGGCAACCTGCTGAGGCTTGGCCTGAAAGAAGGGAGCGCTCTTGTTGGCCTTGGAGGACTTGGCCAGAACATACGGCGTCAAGTAAGGGTGCGGCAGCTTGAGCACCGGCTCATTGTCTTGTGGCAGCACCATGATGACTGTAGCTGGTAAATGAATTTGCCTTGCTAGAGTGTATACTTGTTGCGGCAACGAAATTGGGAACTAAGCAAAGTATCAAGACACCAAGACTGATCGCTGAAAGACGGGATCGTAATTGGCAAGAAGCAGCAGCTCTAGTAGCAATAGTAGCAGTAAGAACAAATGTGTTTACCAACTTAGAAAATCTTGATTCCCGAGATCCGTTCAATCTTCACGAGAAGAGAGCTCTGGTGGGCCGACTTTTTGGTGCTCTTGAGGTTCTGGCTCGTAACCCCTCGGCTCGTACGTACCATGCTATACCCTTACGTATTCCCAATTCCGCGCACCCTCAGCCCGCGGTCCCTGCATCGTGACCTGATCGGAGCTTGCTGGCTGGGCTTGTGCAATATGGGATACTGTACTAGGTAGTTTGGGAAAAACGCGTCACGTCATAGCTCGGCGCGGACGGCCGACCGACGCTTGTGTCTTTCTTGTCGGCCAAAAGTCGTCGACGGTTGTTCTGAAAGGTCCCTCTCACATCATCCATGGTCCGGTCCTATGCGAAACGAAGGCAAGCGACCTGCCTGAAGTTACCCACCACTACTGTTTCCCCAGCGCCTGCGGTTCCGGTTCGTACCTCCAAGTACCTGGATGAACAAGACCATTACCCCATCCGAACAAGGTTTCGCACAGCAAGAGAGCGTGCTGGGGGTGGGAAGGGCGGCGATCAGAATTTTTCGCAGCTAATGCAGCAAAACAGGGACCAGCGAGTGGTTTCTTTTCTTGACTGTTACTCCAGCACCACCCACTGACCGGAGCTCGTCTGCTTGAGACGGCAGGTCGGGGCAGGGGAGGGCAGCTTGGCAGAGACACGCAAGTCGGATCTGATAACTTTGTGTGGCCTGTTCATGTGGGGTTGAGGAGGAGTTGGGTGTGTGATGGAGCCCGGCCAGTGGTTGAATGCGCGGATCTGATAAAAAAAAATTTATTCCCTCGTCAGCAGGGATCAATCATCAGCGCCCCCGAAGCCGGATCAGATAAAATTGCTTGGCGGGCCGAGAGGTTTGAGTTGGATGTCCCCTCAGTCAAAGCATATTTTCTGCTAAAAGACTGAGAGGTCTTGTTACATTTTTGCGTTTAATTTCTTCTCGTGAAGTCGTGCATAAAATATGACTATAGCCATTGAGGGTCGGCTCGGCGTCCTCCAATGTGGGACCCTTGACCAACTTGCCCGCCTAAAATAGAGAGGCGTCCCGACACACCATCAATCAATAATCGTCCTGACCGTCGTCATCCCTGTTTGAGTTACGTATACCGCACTTGTTTGAGTTGCGACTTAGTATACTCTAGATTGAAGCTCTCACGATGATATATATTCGTCGCTTATAGAATCAGACTTTTGGATACATCTTCGGCCAGAGTCCGACAACTTCAACCGGGTCCGTTGTTGAAAGAAGCCTTCTCTGAACTGGCGGCGATCGGCCGGTTCCGTTGTTCCGCCGTTAAGCTGCGGTTATCGATTGGCTTGTGAGACATGATGGCGCCTCCCTTGCTGGCAGACCACTGCCTATCTTACGGTATATTTCATGTTGAACACAATAGAACTCATCTTATAGTATACACACGAGAACAATTAAATCTTCAAAACTCCTCACAACATTATTAATCCTATCAGAAATGGCTGAACCTGTGTCTCCCGAAATCGCTTATCTTTTGAGCCTGCAAGCCGTGCGCGACAGGTCCCGCCTGGTGCTACAGGCAGCTAAAGAGGGGGCTTTAAACAGCTTCGACTATGACGAACCGCGCATGTCCGAGGTTGCAAACGTCGTGATTGACATAATCAAGGTGAGAGGACTCTTGGGTGGTAGGAAATGAGGGGAACAGAAAAGGGGCATTCCTCACCGGTGGTCGACATTTAACTGACCCGGAGCCAGCGCGACTTTGGGCCCGATAGATATGCCGAGATCCCTCCTCACGGTCGGTGGCAGCACTTCAACGTCGGCGGCATAGACCGCGTCGGCGCACTCCTCGCACAGTGGTCTTCAGAGGGCCAGGACAAGCTCGAGCAGACGCGCCGGCTGCTCGACCTCTTCTTTGTGTCCGTGCTCGTGGATGCCGGTGTGGGCGACAAGTGGACGTTCAAGGAGCCCGACTCGGACCGTGTCTACAGCCGCAGCGAGGGCACGGCGGTGGCATCGCTCTACATGTTCAAGGCCGGCTGCTTTAGCTCCAAAAAGGAAAAGCCGCATAGCGTGGACTGTATGAGCTTAACCTTCTCCTCAGTTGTGCATTAACTATAAACACTTCGGGAACTAACAATCTATTGGCAGCGGCCGCCCTTCAGGGAGTGACCGAGGAGATCTTCTGCCAGCAGTTCCAAATCACGTCCGAGAATCCCATGGTAGGCGTCGCCTCGCGTGTCAAGCTTTGGAATGCCGTGGGTCAGCAACTTCACAACAACGATCCGAAAATCTTTGGGGCCGAGGGTAGACCCGGCAGCATGGTCGGTATGTATCTGTGCACAAGTCGCTGCGAGAAGAGATAGCATTGAGAAGAAAAGAACCCGGTTTGATACTAATGTATTTACAGATTACCTCATCGCGAGTGCCAAAGAACCCAACACCCTCGACTATACGGACCTCTGGTCGGTGCTGCAGGGCGTTCTGATCCCTTCGTGGCCCAAGGAGCGGACGCACCTGGCCGGAAACCCCATTGGCGACGCCTGGCCACTAAAGGTGCTCGCGGACCGAGCGCAGCGGGAAGGCGACTCGTCCGAAGCAGCCGCCATTGCGCCCTTTCACAAGCTGACGCAGTGGCTCGGCTATTCGCTGCTGATTCCTCTGACGCGCGTGCTGGGCATCAAGGTCATCAACGACAACCTGGGCACGGGTCTCCCAGAGTACCGCAACGGCGGGCTGTTTTACGACCTCGGTGCGCTCAAACTCAAGCCCAAGGTTCTCGAGGCGGGCCAGCGGGCCTCTGGCCAGGACCTCCCGCTGTATCCCGCAACGGGTGATACCATTGTAGAGTGGCGTGCCATGACCGTTGCGCTGTTGGACGAGCTGCATAGACTGGTATCGGCGCACTTTGAAAAGGAGGGAGTCAAACTCAATCTGGCACAGATGCTAGAGGCTGGCAGCTGGCTTGGTGGACGTGAATTAGCGGCCAAATTGAGGCCGGAAACCAAGTCCAGCCCCATTCTTTTCGAGGGTGACGGCACCTTGTTTTAGAGTTTATAGATCTAGATCTTATAGAACCTATCACGACTACCATGGAAGGTTGAGTGTCGCCAATGTTGCGAAACTGCAAAGTTCAACAAGATAAATCAGTCAAAATTATAAGCATTGAGACAAGTTCGGTCGCCCACCATCCCCGTGTAAAAAGTCAAAGAAACTTGGTCCCGTTGAAAAGATACATAACCAGAACAAGGGCAAAAAGAAAGCCAAAGCTATCGTAATCCTCTCGATCGGGGAATTGAACCCCGGTCTCCAGCGTATTCAAAGTTGTGAATGACAAGCTGGCATACTGACCACTATACTAATCGAGATGAGAAGTGCTCGTGTGACTATGTTGGGTGACGACTTATACTATATTATTATTCGTACAAGGCTCCACTGAACTAAATGGGTACTATGATGGCCTCAGCAAAATAGAAGCCGTGAATAATTGACAGGAACTCAAGTGTAGAATGAGACGGTTTGTGGAATTGTTTTCATCACGTAGCAGACGACTTGCAGCATCGGTCAAAAAGCGGTGGAGTTGAAATTACGTTCATATTAGGGTATCGCCGAGCTCCTTCTGAATCCTTGCGGTGGATGTAGCAATAACAGAGAAACAAGTAGAATCAAAGTCCATGGGCCATTGCGCCACTCATTTGGACTCCTTCTTGGCCTTTTCGACGATTTCCTCGGCCTTTTGGGACTTCTTCTCGAGTACCTGCTTCACCTCGGCAAGGGTCTCTTCTACCAGCTTCTTGCCCTCCTCGGAATGCTTGTCGGCGACGTCCCTCAATTGCTGCAGCTTGGACAAGATTTCGCTGCCATTGGGGATCTGGTCAATGTACTGCTCCAGGCCAAAACTCTTGCCTAATTGCGAGCCCTTGGACTTGGCCTTCTCCACAGCGCTGTTTACGTAGCTCTCAATGTCTCCGGTGTCTCCAGACTCGACGGCCTTTTTGGCCTTGTCAAAAAGCTCCTTGGCGTTTCCTTGCTTGAGAGTATCTGCGTTCTTCTCAATGAGTTCCTTGACCTTGGGGTTCTTGTCAAGATAAGGCTTTGCCTGCTCGAGGCCCTTCTTCCAGGCCTCGTCTCCCAGCTTTTTGACTTGTTCCACCTTTTCTTGGATGAGACGTCGGACCTTGTCCAGGTTTGCAGCCGTTAGGCCACCGCCGAGGACGTCCTTGACTTGAGACCAAGTCTCGTCAACCTGCTTCTTGGCCTCGGGGCCGTACTGATCACCCATCTGCTTGAGCTGATCAATGCTGCCACCAAATTTGTCCTTGAGTTGAGGGTGGTTGTCGAGGACATCAGTAAAGGCGTCGCCAGCGAGGGCTCCGACCTTTTTGGACAGATCAGCCAATACCTCGGCAGCCTTGTAGGCCGTCTCAATGCTGAGCCCAGACTTGGAAAGCTGTTGGAATTGCTTGTAGGCATCGTTGAGGATCTTGTCGGCCTCGTCGCGGTGGTTCTTGCGCACAGTCTCAACGTCCTTGAAGGCCAAGTCGATATATTGGCGGCCACCGGGGATCCACGCCACGTAGGAGTAGCAAAAGTTCTTGAGATAATCAATGGTCTCGTCTGCACTAGGGGTGTTCTGCTGCAGCTTGGTTGCAGCCTCTTGGTACTTGTTGTTGGCTTCCTTCACAGTCTTGTTGACGGTCCTCGACATGCGACCACTAGGACTAAAGTAGTAGGCGCCATATAGCACAGTGGCAGCTGCTAGGCCGCCAGCCACACCGGCACTGAGATGAGAGTTGCCAGATTGAGCGCTTCCCGTAGATGAAGAGGATGAAGTGCTTGACTGGAATCGAGTTTGTGGTTTGGTAGCTCTACAAGAGCGAGCAGTCGCTCGAGGGAGGCCAGATCTCGCCAATGATCTTGCGGGAATCATTTTGTGTGAGAATTTCCTTTGTCTGGGTAGGTGGATATGCTTCAATCGGAAGTGTAGAGAGGAAGCAATGCGCAATGCGGGAATGGTTTCTGTTCAAGCTTGGGAAGAGTGGTGAAGATGAAGAAAAACAAGGTCAATTGGTATGAACACCAAAGTATCAGTTTTACCTCGTGCACGGCCTACCAAGGTATTCACAGACCAAGGCAGGTGCATCATCGTCATGGCTGTCTCAGCTTTTTTGTTTTGTTGCCCGAGAAGTCAATTGTCTTCAATGATGTAATTGGCGTCGTCGGTGATGCGCAAATGATGCAGGTACCGGCCTTCAGCTATTGGACAGAAGACTCGGATCGGGGTAAATAGCGGGGTCTAGGCTCTTGGGAGCTGCTGAATTCGAGGACCAAACGCTCCGCGGCAGTAACCGGAACTCTGTGGGGAAGCCCTGTAAGCCCTCAACTCCAGCTGCCACCGCCCCGAACCCGTCATTCTTCAGGCCTGCAGTCCAGATCTGGTGTGTGTATTACCTAAAAAACCACATTCCCTACGTCATTCAATACAAGCTGCAGTAGTTTGTCACATCCCCCGAGACCCCCCTCTTTCAATGTCATTAACTTTTCCCTGTTCGTCCAGTTTTCTCAAGATGGGACAGCTGTCACTGACACTAGTTGGTGGTTCGGGCATGGCAGGTCCGGGATTGAATCAAAAGCGGCATGGTTGGCTTCTGGCCTGTCTGTCTTGGTTTCTGTGTCTGCGGAAGGGCAAGTCTTGTCTCACAACAACGCGTTTCCATGGTATCCGTGGGAGTAGGGTAAGTATTCAAGGTTTACTTTCTATCCAATTCAACACCATAATGTTGCTACACATTTAGAGGGCGCCCTCCTTCTTGGTGTCCGTGCCATCCGCAACCACCTGCGACACCCCCATTTCCTCCTGTCCAGCGCTGCTCGAATCATCCGAGATGGGATTGTATGCGCACTCCTCCCAGCCCATGCCTCGTTCCCTAATGAGCCTCTGGTTCTTGGTCGGCCAGATCTTGCAGATAGTATTGTAGAAGACAAAAGACATGGTGAAGGACAAGATCCATCCAATGTAAAACAGGTCATATCCAGCCTGGTTCACGCCGGTTGCGCCCAGCGAAGCAGCGAATCCGGGGAATGGGAGGGCGATACCAATGATATAGGCGATCACCGCCTGGATGTTCCAGCCTCCGTGGTAATGGTAGTGCACGTTGCTCTTGCCTGGGTTGAAGAGCCACTCGGTCGCAATGTTGCCCTTGGTCTGAATGAAGTCTGTTGCGCGGTGGTCAGCACACATCATCTTTCAAGCCAAGTGTGGAGGTAAAAATATGAGTCACTTACAATCAGAAACCATGATAGCGACAACACTGGCCATGAACAAGCCGTAGCCTGACAGGAATGTCGTGAAAATCGTGGCCGACGCGAGAATCTTCCACGGGACAATCGCATATCCCAAGATCTGGGCAATAAAGAAACCACGTTTCATATCAATGTAACGAGGCCAAAGGAGGGCAGCATCAGATCCAAAGGAAATCATGTTGGCTGCAATGTTTGTTCCCAAGATGCTGATGGTCCAGCAGAGTGCAGCCAAGAAGATTGCGAATCGGGCTCCAGATCCGTTGTGGTGATCCTGGATAGCATCGAGGAGGTCCCAGGGGTTCCTAAGAATGGTCAGCATGTCGTCTTACTCGGGTCAAGTATACAGATCTCATTTACCAAAGCTCCAGATCCCACTTTCCATTGATACCGGCGGTAGCCAAGATACCAAAAGTAGCGGAGAGCGTGACCGCGAGAGGTTGCACCAACTGTGATCTGTGTCAGTTTGACTCGCCTTCATAGGATTGAGACTTATGAGAGACGAACGATTTGAGAGAGAATCGAGGCCCTAGGGTTCTTGGCCCAGCGAGCAATGTCGGGTTGGTTTGTAATCAACGTGGCGGTGTTACCCATGCCAGAGTTGATACCGTGCATGATTGCCCAGCCAAGTCCTCCAGTAACGGTGCTGTCGGCAAGCGTGTTGCCGACCTTGCCCTTGCTTTCAATCATGCAGTAGATGAAAACACCTGCTACAGCGGGGAGCATGATAAAGCCCTTGAACCAGAAGAATTTCTTCAGCTGGTACGGGCGGAAGAAGCAGAAGATCAAGTGGATGAGCCAAAACAGAATGAATGACAGCATGCCCTTGGTTGTAATTCCAGCCGACTCGGGAATGCGGTTGGGAATGTTGTTGTACGCGTCTCCGAAGATGGCTCGGAGCATGTTGCCAACGTGATTAGCACCAGAGTACAGCTGGATACCATACCACACTGCAGCCAAGACAGCACGAGCTCCCACAAAGTAGTAGCTTCCGTACATGCCAAATACGGCTCTGCTGATGGCTGGGTAGCCGAGATGATATCTCGAGGCAGCCCGGGAGTTGAAGGCCATGACAATCGACGCAATCGTCTGTGACACAAAGATCACCACGATGGCCTGCCACCAACTAAGGCCGATTCCAATCATGGTCTTGAAGACACATCAGCTCTGTGCACAAGGGGAAACTACACAAAAGAGCAAGCGGGCGGAGCTTACGGAACCGAGCGTCCAGTTGCCAAAAGAGATGCCAAAGTAGAACAGGCAGTATGTCTTGAAGTCCCAAGCTGTATGATCGGTTAGCAGCCGATACCACGAATGAGCAACTGTTGGAGCAGAAACTTACTTCTCTTCTCGGCAGGAGTAGGCTCGAGATCTGGCAAATGGGGTTAACCAAGTTATCCCCTACGCTATTGATCAAAAAGCAAGCTTGCCTTCATTCACCCACAACGGATCAGCGTCGACATAACGACTCTCGCTGTATCCGAGGGTGTTCTTCACCTGAAGGGCCTGCTTCAGGTTTGACCAGCTGGAGAAGGCCTCGGCCAGAGACTTCTTGGTCTCGGCAGCCTTCTCGCGGCTGAAGGGCGAAGTGACGGCAACCATGGTGTGTTTGACAACGCCTCGACACTTTGTTGGTGGTTGTTCGACCTCTTGTCTCTCTTTGGGGGAAAGAGGCAAGAAAAAAAAGGCGGCTGCGGTGGTTGGGTTCACGAAGGCAGGCCGGGCCACAAGTTGCGACGACTTCTAGCAGCAGCAGCAACAGCTCTTCTTGAGAACATCACGCGACAGGAAGAACACGCGAGCAGGACCAGGGCTCCGGAAGAGCGCGCACTGAAATAAATTTTCCCTGGTCGTGCCAACTGGGCCTCCTAGAATGGATCTCAAAGGGTCTCGGGGATGCATTTTTTCGTAAGCGTGCCGTCTAGTCTCGGCGCAACCCAGCTTCTAGATCGATTCCAGAAAAAAAAGGTTGATCTGCTTGAGCACAAATGTTGCCAATGCGTGGCGGAGGCCGCGAGGAACCGCGGAACTCTAGCTTTTCTTGGCGATAGCGGCGCGCTATCGTATCCGCCCGAATCCGCTATGTGGAACATATACTCCAGTTTTCTCACTCAAAAGATAAGGGCAAAATTCCACTCGTCTTTGATAACGGTTTTACAAACCAATGAAACACGCGATGGTGAGCAGATTTTACTATCATCAAGCATCAGCTCCTGTCAGGTACGCGATCCTTTTTCTTTCTCGGGGGCGTGCCGACTGATAGACAATATCTCGCTCAACCACCCAATGTTGATAGGTCGCTGGTCTGGTGCCCGGGCCGCGTTATCACGTCCAGATTATCCACGCTCCCTTTCTCTTATATCAAGCCAGTTGAGAGCAGCACTTCCAAAGACGTCAGCACTTTGCGGGTTTGAGAGAATCCATCTGCGGTAGCTCAAACTCAAAGGACATGCAGTGCATCTTATCATTGTGAAGAGTTCTTCTCAATCCCTTCAAGTGACTCTTGTATGAAACGTTGCGTCATCATAGAACACTTTCGATGCTAGCACCTCGACGTGACTTCAAGATAAGTCTATCAGATGGCCCAGGAGACATATGCATTGGATCTTGTTGGATGTTTGCGAAAAGCACTTCAATGCCATACTTTTCAGATGAACAGGCCGTATCCAACGCTCACAAGGCATCGCAGTGTTTGAAGAGTCGAGTTCCTCGAAACCGACCACTTCTCAAGTTGCGGCTACGCGGCTTCACTTATACGGATACAGCTTGGCAGACTGGGGACTACGGTGAGTGCCTGACTAACGGTAAATGTCAATAGGCGAATGGAACGTCCCCGAAATCCCGGCATATGCCCGAGCACTGAGCAGAGACCAACCCCCTCCGCATCCATTCCCCAGCGCGGCGGCAACGGGGGACCCAATTGATTGGGAATCTATGCGGTGAGAAACAAACGCAGCGCGGAAAGTCCCCCGTTACAACTCCAGAGTCCAGAACACGAAGCTAAGTCATGACACGGGGAAGCTTGTTGCTGCTTTGGGCACTTCCCCTTAGATGGTTCTCCACTTGGCCATGACTATCTATTTCTTTCACTAGTACGTTGGGTGAGTCTCAACGCGGCGATAGCATCAAAAGAATTTGAGTTGAGGATGGGTCGCGGCTGATACCGTTCAAGCTTGAATCATCACAAGTTAGGCGGTCTAGAACATCATATTCTAATTGAGATGTCCTCGACTTCTGGTTCTCCTCGTCCTACGGGGCATGAAACATGTTCATCTCGTTCTTCCTTTGGGGGTCTGGCTCGTTTTATTGGGCATCATTATAAGCACATTATTTAAACCATATACGAAAGGCAGCCTATGTTAGGCATCTTGTTGCTGTGTCAATTAGTCAAGTACAATCATGATGTCCTCGAGAATAAAGTTGCATTACCCAGGGACTTAGAAGAATAAATCGAAAATGAAAATGAGTGCCAAAACAAACTATATCAATCAAGGTCGCGACAAGATCTTAAAGATTTTAACCATTTATGTCCTGCGTAACATGATTGATTAATTAGTATGCGGTAAATGGTTAAATTATTTTTCGTAGGATTTGTGTTGATATGTAAAATAATGTTGTAGTCGCCTTGAAGGACTCCATAATGGAGCAGACGGAGGTCTCTATCAATACAAAAGGCCCAACTTCCTCAGGCCACATACTCCTCCGAGTCTGTCAAGTCTCCCTTCTCTGCTATTAAGCGCATTCCTGCCAACATCAACTTTTGTCAGACTCGCTACTTCTGGTATCGCATGACAAAGTTTCACCTTTCCTATGGAACAGAAGAAAAGCTCTTTTTAATGGATCTTCTCTTTCTCCCTCCCTCCGTGTTCTCTCTGTTCTGCCTTTCGTACTCTGATTTAGCGAGAGAAAGTTCTAACTTCCACACATTGAGACTGTACCCGAACCACAACCGCCAGAACCGCCACAGGTTCCAGCGACGCAACCCCCAGGGATGCCGTCTCCGGCATTGACCTGTGTGGGATCCGTGGCGTAGAGCCCCTTCGCGAGGTAGTGGGGATGCGACCAAGGACCCTCGAGAGTGTAGTTGGCACCCCAGTGGCGATACGTCCTCTCCTTGGGCCCGAGCTCCCGCCCCTTTTTGCCCGCCCGGCTGACGGCTCTGGCATAGCTCTGCTCGAGTCTCGACTTGTAGAGTGCGCGCATCTTCTTGGTCACCTTTTGGCGAGCCTCGGTCTCGTTGACCTTGACTGCTGGGTGAGTAGAAATGTGCGCCGATTTTGAAGGAGGCTGAGCATGGGCCTTGCCAGAGTCGTACCAAGCTTGAGCAACTGCAGGTAATCCAATGTTAGCTGCATTCAAAGTACTGCAGAGGCTCAATGTATCGCTGAACTTACTCTTGTCTTGCTTGGATACATTAAGTAGAACTCCAAAAGATGATATACTCCAGGCTCGAATAGCTATAAAATCATGATCAGTGAATGGAAGCAATGCAACTTCTCTTACCGACTTACTCTCACAATACCAGCAAATACATTCGCTGTACACCTCTCCGTACATGGTTTGATACGTTTTTGTTGTCCACTCAAAAGCCTCAGACAGCTTATCTTCGTCAACTTTATCGTGGTGATCAACAAAGAGACCTATCTTGGCTACAGTAAACTTGTAGTATTGCCGCGGGCTTAATTGATGAGTGTGCCAGACCAGATCTATGTCCACTGTTGGGACCACAATCTGATCGGGTTTTGACGCCATTATATTGAAAAAGCGATCGTACTTGATCAAAAATCTTGCAATGGTCGGATTAGCTTCTGGGCTCTGAAGCCAAGCTATCTGATGAACGTCAGCATGGTCCACGGTGAACTGACGGTGATACAACCCGTACCTTGTACATCTTTTGAGTGAAAACACCCTGTCGCATCACAGCACCAACCAAATCGAGCCCAAATGGCGATGCATTATCCCAGTACCGACTCATCATGTGCCGGATCTGTTGTTTTGCTGCTAGATCTGGCTTCTTCCCGCCGTTTGCCCGTTTCAGAAGAGACTTATCGTTGATCCCCTTTTCTATAAGGTCCTTCACCATCAACATACTTGGCGTCGTTTCGTCTCCAGGTTTCACTAGATCGACAACGTCTGCTAGAGTTCCTCGTCTCAAAAGGCGATTCGGGAACAATCGTGGCGAATCTGATCTCGACGCTTCAGTTGGCATGCCCTTTTTCAAATCCAAAATGGTTCCTGGAAGAGGCTGGTCGTTGTTGACCAAATATTTGACGTGATTTCGAAACTTGGCCAGGCAAAGCAGTTCATGCGTGATGGTGATATTACACTTGGGACACTTTTGACTCAAGTTTCCGTCACCATAACCTTCGCCGGCAATATTCTGCGGTCTCGGTGGCGGAAATTTTGTTTCAAAGTTCACACGATCCTGGCTACATGTTGTCCAAGGCATAGAGACCAGCCCCGAACAGGCAGGGCACCTGACGGCTTTCGTGTCGCCATCCTCTGTGTTGAACCACTTGCGTCCAGTCGTTCGTGTCCAATTTGACTTGCACTTTTCTGATGCCGTATACTGAAATCTGTCGTCAATCATCTGATCGATAATATGCCAGGGTATGCCCGTCGTCCATAATGCCCGGTGCCCACACCGAAGGCAGTCCTAACCGAAACCAATTGTCAGTTAAGCCAGAGTTGTTGATTGTGCATAAATCAGAACTCACTTCGAGAAACAGCCTTGGATTCAACATGTGCGCGTGTAAAACGAGGAGCACATCTTTGGTCATGGTCAATAATCTGTTCACCTCTGTAATGATGTGACAAGTCAAGTCAAGCATACCCAATGGAGGCATATGATCCTCGCTCCAATGCATCGGTTCCCAATTGGCCATGAAATTGAGATATCTGGTCCTGTCCTTTTCCATGTCCCTCTCCGTCAAGAACTGCCCGCCTAGACTGTTCCACCATGCCTCATAGCGATCCACGGCTCTAGCGACAAAGAGAGCCCAGCGCTTTTCCCGCAATGACGCCAAGGCCTTGTTGGGGTTGTTCGGCGTCGCTGGATACCTAGCATCCCATAGCCCAAAGAGACCGTCTGAGAAGCCGACATCATCCTTTAGATTATGGAAAGTGTATAGCAATCTCAGATGCACCAAGCAGGTGCCGACTTCGGGATGCTGTGGCTCGCCGCTCAGCGACAAGTTGGAGAAGCCAGAGTTGAGTCGCGACGGCCCGGCGACCGATCCCCGCTGGCCTACTACGTGATAGGCTGGCGGGCTGTCGACGGTGGTTTGCCTTCGGTGTGCGCCGACCATGATCGCAACGGCGTTGATTAGTGGGAACTACCGCCCAACTCTTGCACTGCGCGACAGGATGCTAAAGTACATGAAGGCATTTTCTCCCACGTCAGACTGCAGATATATATTCCATTCCGTTTCGAGAAGATTGCACAGCCCCTGTTTTGTCGAGACCTTGCTTTCTGCTCGTCACTATTGGAGACGATTGAAGGATTTCTCGTGATGGGATGATCTACCAAGCTACATGGGTCTGCAGGCGGGTCTGCACCTATTAATACCAGCCTGTTTTCACTCGATTGATATCATCAATGGTCTAGCCGAGACGTCAGAAGCTACGATGCAAATACGTATCTCATTGCGCAACCCGTAATAAAACTAAATAACGAGCAATATGAACCTGTATTCTATCAATATACTTTCAATTGCCCTAATGTCAAGACAAGAAGGCTACATCGCGGCCATCTTTTTGGGTCAGCCGTCGGCCCGCGGTGCATATTCTCCAGGGACCGAAGGATCATTAAGGAAGGCAATTAACAAGAAGGATTCTGCAAAACAGGGATGCATCGGATAGAGTGTCAACTTCCCGATTGCACAGCTTACGAGACATTCATGTTCATTTCTCTCTTTCTCCTGGTTCTCCTAACAAGAAGCAGTGGAGTCAATTTCATTCATTGAAGATCCAGCCTCTCCTGTCCTGTCACTCCATTAATTGATGTATGGACTTGACACTATTCGGCATCGGCAACCACTTTTTGACCCTTTGAAAAACAAGACGAACGCGCGTCTCAATATTCTGTGAGCTGATTACACTCGGAAATCCTCCATACAATAAACTTGGCTAATGAAATGAGCTGGCACGGCCTGATCCCCACTTGATCAGACAAACAAAGTGTGAGGTTTCGCGAGCAACCAAAGAACTACTATCGTGTCCGACCTCAGTCCATGGTTCACATTATCCACAAACCCACAAGGCAGTTTGTGTTTGTTGCATGATAATTATTAAATCTTACATTTCTCAACAAGGCCGGGTGGCGAAATGGTATCGCGTCAGATTTCGGCGAACTTTCGAGTTCATGAAACCGTTATCTCTACCTCTGAAGATTGTGGGTTCGAATCCCATCTCGGTCGTTTTTTTTTTGCTGATATTATCAATTCATAACAACACACAAACTATCGTGATACTTTTTGAGCTGTTTGTCCAATGTGGCAGGTAGGCCATACGGAGCTTACTCGAAAATTGCTGTAGTAGATGATAGACGGACCATATATAACAAACCTACCTACCTACCTGCTAATAATCGAGGCTGCCAGATCTGGTTGTCTCCGGCTGGTGCTCGGCTGGAGATCCAATGTGCACCTGAGAAAGGTCTTGGGTATAGGCGTCGCAATTCCTGTGCATCTGGAATTATTGTAACAATTATAGCATCTTGTAATATCATTGTTCAGCGCTTGTACGTTGCTTGGATAACAGATACAACTCAAGCCCATGAAAGATGCCTTGGTTGCTGGGCTGCTGCCTGCTGTACGAAATTTTAGAGTCGGTCGAACTATTAAGGTCTCCTGAGATCATGAGGACCACTAGTTCATCCACTGCGGGGCTCAACTATATAGGTATGTAGTTCAAGAATGGATCATAACTGCAATATATAAACAAGTGTAAATATCAAACAAGGCTATATGCAAGCTCTCGTATTCTACAGAGCTCTTGCCAGTGGCTGCCTTGTGTGTTGGCAGCTCAGCCACTGTCAAATGGCACAGCAGGAAGGACAGACTCCGAAAACGGCATATTGAGTCATGCATATCATCTATCACCGCCAGAAAATGAATGCTTCTGGTATAGGGAAAAGACCAATTGATTTCACGACATAAAAAAAAACCAATTGCTTGAAATGACAGTAATAGACGATTCAAGTCAGGGTAATTGCTACAAATTCTGGCAACTTTTCTTCAGTTTCGAGTGCCATGCTAGTCCCCAGCACCAGGCCCCACTATAGGTGTCTAGCGCCGCCGAGCTTCTATCGATAAGCCATTGTGGCGGGGTCCGCGCGCTCTCTCTCTCTCTGGGGAAACTGGGACCGACTGGGTCAGTCAGTCACATCAGCCGCCTTTGCGGTGTTGGCCGAATTACTCACCTTTTGTGAATGACATCTATGACTCGACATTGGGGACCCATTTCCTTCGAGCTGTCCTATATAACTACTTTTTCTGGCAAAAAGCGTTACAATTCTTATCATTATTGAATCTAGTAGTTTCCGATACTTGCTCTGCTAAAGCAGACCCAGGTCACACAGCATATGTTACCGACGTCATTGCATCACGATATCATAACTAGCTCGATATAACGCCGAATTCATGGGAATAAACCACACAATAGCGCCATGAGCAAAACGACAAAACAGCTTCCGCACGAGCGGCGGAAAAACGAAGCGGCCCTCAGCGAGTTTGCCGAGTTTGTCGAGAAGCAGCAAGCACTAAGATATCCCTCCTCCAAGACCAACAAAGTTGCCGATGCTAGCGCGACTGAGCACCACGAGGAGCTGGACATACTCGACTCTCTGAACCTTGAGGACTCCGAGCCGCAGATTCCTCTACGCGAGCTACTCCTGGCAGATGACGAGGCGAACTTTGACAAGCTTGTCAGTGTGGTGGAGGATAGGCTACGAGAAGGTCATGCCGAGGCCGTGTTCGATGTCGGATTCGAGAATAATGGCGAATCCATGGGTCTGACGAAACCAGAGTGGGAAAAGGCCTTGGCGCGGCTGAAAACAGCAGCAAAATCGCTGCGGGCCGATTGTGATGTCCTATTGACGAAAAATATTGGAGGCGAGAAAGAGGCCGAGTCGGTCATCACCGGGAAAGACAAGGACAAGGACTGCAGTGGAAAAGTGTTGATAAGGCAAGCCCCGGCGACGACAGAAAACGTTATTGAGACTCGGATAGCAGTAGTCGGAAATGGTAAGACATTTGACTGGGAAAGTTGCGAACACAGGCTGATCATGAACCAGTCGATGCCGGAAAAAGTTCCATGCTGGGTGTCCTGGTCAAGGGTGACCTTGACGATGGACGAGGAAAGGCTCGTGTCAACTTGTTCCGTCACAAACATGAAGTTGAGACCGGCCGTACCAGCTCAGTCGGCATGGAAATCATGGGATTCGACACGCTAGGAAACACCATCACGTCTGACACTCCAGGCAGTAGGTGTAGCAGCTTTCCAGTCGGTTGTATCGTTTGCTAATATCTTGCAGGGAAATTGTCTTGGGAAGAGATTGGAAAACGAAGCGCCAAAGTCATCACGTTCACTGATTTGGCAGGCCATGAGAAATACCTGCGCACTACCGTGTTTGGTCTGCTTTCCTCCAGTCCAAACTATTGCTTGCTCATGGTGGCAGCCAACAATGGGTTGATTGGCATGAGTAAAGAGCATCTCGGTATTGCTCTGGCCCTGAACGTCCCAGTAATGGTTGTCATTACCAAAATCGATATTTGCCCGCCAAACATTCTCGAGCAGACCATTTCACAGATTACCAAAATCCTCAAATCCCCCGGAGCCCGTAAAATTCCCATCTTCATTCGAGATCGGGAGGAGTGTATCAACACTGCAACCCAGTTTGTCAGTCAGAGGATATGCCCAATATTTCAGGTGTCCAATGTTACGGGTGAGAATCTGGATCTTGTCCGGACTTTCCTGAATATTCTTCCCCATCATGGTCGCTACGATGCCGGGGCCGATTTCGAGTTTGCTATCAATGACACGTTCTCGGTGCCGTTTGTTGGCACAGTCGTGAGTGGTATCATCAAGTCAGGTGTCATACATGCCGGGGACAATGTTTGGATCGGTCCCGATAGCAACGGCAACTTTACCGCTACCAATGTCCGCTCTATCCAGAGGAAACGGTTGGATGTCCCAGCTGCATCTGCTGGCCAGTCTGCGAGTTTCGCTCTCAGAAAAGTGCGGCGGAAGGATGTTCGAAAAGGAATGGTCGTATTGCCAAAAGTCGAGGGACACGCCCCTCCAAAAGTGACAAGAGAGTTTGTTGCAGAAGTCCTCATCTTGTCCCACGCGACTACCATCAAGACCAAGTATCAGGCTAGTAAGTACTCACAACATTATCCGTGCTCATTGCTGTTGCACATATATGCATACATCAGTCTGTTAGATTTGATTGTCGTCTAACGCGAGAAACCAGTGCTTCATGTTGGCGCCGTAGCACAGACTTGTGCAATCATCGATATTGACAGGCCATTTATTCGGACTGGTGATCGTGCCACCGTGGCATTCCGCTTCACCGCACGCCCGGAATACATGGTAGAAGGCGAACGTGTTCTGTTCCGTGAAGGACGAACCAAAGGTCTCGGTATCGTCAAATCAGTGACGTATGACCCTGCGCATCCGCTCATGGGCCAGGATAGCCCGCATAAGCCTTCAGAAGGAGACGAGAGTACGCAAAAAGCTGCAGCACAGCCAGAGGTTCAAGTTGGCGCCTAGAGCCGTTGAATGTACTCGATTCGTTGGATTCGTTTTCCAATCTTTCATTGACCAATCTGTATGATACTAGTGCTGCCAGAGCTTGGCAGGTATGAATTATGATTACAAGCGATGAACTCATTGTTTATAGTGTCCTGCAATAAAATTGTATCACAATCAAGTATACCCAAATTCTGTGTTGCTGAGCACTGGTGGGCGTGGAGGCGGTGCCTATAGGCAGCCATGGATCCAGTGAACCTGACCGGACCTTGGACCGGACGGTCGGATGATTGCGACAAAGATGCGAAGCAAGCGAGCGAGCGCAATTTATCCGAAAGAAGCGCATCGGCTCCGGTTTCTACTAGCATGCCTATATTGCAATACGTGGTACGGTGGAGGAATTACCACGGACCCTGAGATGGAAGATGTGCACTGCCGACAGACTAGTAGTGTTGCTGCGGTGTGCCCCATGCTCGACTCATTTAGGGAGGTTTTAAGGAGAGGGGGCAAGAAACGAGGACGCACAGCATCAAAGAGCGTCAAGGCGTAGCGACGACACATGCTTCATCTGGTACGTATAGCCAATTACCTGTTGATAAATGCTGCCTACCTGCTGCTACTGTGTAGTACTACGCCATCTCGCCTTTATGCATTACGTGTGCCGATCCATCCCTGCCCGGAGTTCCACTATAACATTGCCTTGGCCAATCGTAGACTTCTGGTTACTATTCTATGCCAACTATTTTCGGCACTGAACGATCCGTACGATGAGAATACTAACATTTGTGCAAAACGGGGCCCATTCTCTGCATTTACCCCCCTTGGCAACCTTACATAACCGCTAAAGAAAAGCTAGACAAAGCTTGTTGGACCATCTCTCCCCCGCCGTCCCTTCATGCCTCCCACCGCACAAGGTGGGCAAAGAAATGGGTGTGACATCAACCACTCAGTCAACGGTCGTTTATTAAGCTTCCTAGACTCCAACAAAAAAAAAAGTCACCGATGAAGCAAATAATGTTTGATGGAGGGTGGATTTGGTGGTGGTAGCACCCCCGGACCAGCTTCCGAAGATTGCACTCATGCATTCGACGACGTACACCGGGCGATTCAAACGTCCGACCATCCGCCCTTTTGTTTTTTCCGTGTCTGGAGGATATTGAGGCCGACTCTGGCATGTTTTCGGAGACTTATACAAAAAGTACGCCAGCTAACCTTGGAATTCGGCCTCGTCACCTCTCGTGGCGGGTCCTGTCGATCAATTCATCGCCTCTTGGGCTATAATCTTACTTGTGAGCAGCCAAGTATATCTAGTGTTTAAATAAATCATCGTCGCATTTCCCTCTTGTCGCAGGATTTTCTATTCTGCTGTAAACTGTTAATCCAAAATGGCCCCTCTCCATGTCGAAAGTGTAGGCCTGGCCAATTGGGCACTCATTGGCAGTGTTTCTGTAAGTTCACATTTATCGACATCATTCTCGACTGACTGCTTCTGACTGCTTGGCCTTAGGTCGTGCTCTACCTCGTGTCAGTGGCCATCTACAGATTGACATTCCACCCTCTCGCCTCTTTTCCTGGACCCATATCGCACCGCATCTCAGTATGGCCACGCGCAATCCTTCTTGCACGCGGCGATCTTCCCTTTCACGTGGCGGAGCTGCACCGCCGGTACGGGCCCGTAGTTCGTCTCGGTCCCAACGAGCTCGCATTTGCGAACCCGCAGGCCTGGAAGGACATCTATGGCCACCGGACGGCGGGCCAGGACGAGTTCCCCAAGTCGCCCAAGCTGTACAAGATCTTTGACGATCTGCCCGCGTCCATCATCAACGCCGGCCGCGAGGAGCACTCTTTGCTCCGCCGGCAGATGGCCCATGGCTTTAGCGATCGTAGTATGCGCGGACAGGAACCTATTATTGGTGCCTATGTCGACTTGCTCGTGCAGAGACTCCAGTCGAAATGTGACGACGGACGTAGACCTTTGAATAGTAAGTTTTTCTCCTTTATTCTTTTCATCCAAACGGACGGACAAGGTATCCCTTCATATATAGGCGGACCAAAAATAAGTCCAGCTTGCAAGGTGACGGTCCCTCCAAGATCATACAAGTCGTGGAGAAGCACACAAGAAGTCTGCGTGATATGTGATGATGACTCATCCGAAATGAGTTGAACCCAAAAAGCCAAGATCTGACATGCAACGTGTGACAGTGCGCAATTGGCTCAACTATGCGACCTTTGATATTATTGGTGACTTGGGCTTTGGCTCCCCCTTTGGGTGCCTCGACAATAGCGACTACCACCCCTGGGTCCGCATCATTACGGACAATATCACGCAGGGCGCCATGCTCACGGCTTTTGCCTCGGTCGGCGGACGTCCCATTATCCAATACCTAAAGCGCAATGGCTATCTAAAGCGCCGCAACCAGCACGAATTTCTGGTCCGCGAGAACCTCATGAAGCGCATGGAGCTAGGTGCTGAGCGACCCGACTTTATCGAGGGTCTCATCAAGATGAAGGAGCCACTTGTACGTGTAACCCGTGTCGGCTTGATCCAAAGAGCCGCCTGGCGGGTCACCAGACACGATGAAGATGATATATACTAACGCAAATCTACAGAGCATGAAGAAATTGGAAATGAACGCCGGCCTGCTCATCATTGCCGGCTCCGAGACGACAGCCACTCTCCTCAGCGGCGCCATGTTCCTGCTGCTCACGCACCCCGAGGCCCTGCAGAAGCTGACGGCCGAGGTCCGCTCCTCGTTTCGCGACGACGGCGAAATCACCCTGCTCTCGGTCGGCAGCCTGACCTACATGCTGGCCTGCCTCAACGAGTCGCTGCGCCAGTACCCGCCCGTGGCCAGCGGGCTGCCCCGCGTGGCGCCCAAGGGCGGCGCCCTGGTCGACGGCCACTTTGTCGCCGAGGACACACAGGTGGCCGTCTGGCAGTGGGCTATCAACCATGATCCTCACCACTGGACCAAGCCCATGGAGTTTCACCCGGAGCGGTTCATGGGCGACCCCGAGTTCAAGAGTGACAAGTTGGATGCTATGCAACCATTTAGTGTTGGACCGCGGAACTGCATCGGACGAAAGTGAGTATATTTTTTCAATCATGTTTTCCTTGCTCCTTGTCTCTGAGATACTTTGGTATACTGATCGTGTAAATTTTCCCCTAGCCTGGCATATGCCGAGATGCGTCTCATTCTCGCCAAGATTGTCTACAACTTCGACCTCAAGATTGCCGACGACAGTCTCCGCTGGCTTCAGGATCAAAAGGCATACAACCTATGGGATAAGCCTGCGCTCAACGTATACCTTACGCCCGTCACCCATTCTTGAGGAGATTGGCTTGTATCATCAAAGATTTGTGTTGGAACGCGAGTGTGACTTTATTTTCAGCATTGCATGGCGTTTTCTTTCAAGTTTGGAATCGGGCATGGCACTGTAAGAGTGAATTTCCTTTGCCCCATTGACCAAGTTACACAAGTTATAGTCATCAGAGCTGCAGGCTACATACTAGGTACGGTAGTATGCATATGAGGAAATGCTGATATTTTAACGCCGAACACCTAAACTCCTATTTTGACCGCTTGCCCACGCTTTTTCAATTGAATTAAGATATTCGATACAAGAATTTTCCCGAAAAGAATGGTGAAAACAAAACCTGTCTCCTCAATCTATTCCATACAGGTCGCTAGCAGCAGTAATGGTGTGGTACACACAGGTATGAGATGCTGTGGCTAAAGCTGCTGTGCTAGAGGCCTTGAATTTCACCGTCGAACCGGATCAACAGTTTCTTGTTCTCCTCCTGGGGTAAGAACCCGTTGGTTGAATACCTGTGTCTAACAATCGGAGTACTTGTTCTCCAGTCGATCCAAGAAATGCGAATGCCGAATGCTTATTATTTGAAATATGTTAGCTTGATATTTCCTCGGTCCAGGTTTAGGAAATGTACTGGGTGCAACGCAGATGTTGCCACGACGGTTGTAGGAAGTTTAGTCCGCCACAAGCGCAACGTCATTCGTGAGATTGCGCAAGACGTGACAATAAAACACTTTGGATCACTTACCCAGGAGGCCGAGCTTTGGCAAATTCAGCGATCGCGGTTTGAACGGGCATTCCCATCGCCTCAACCAAATAAGAGACAATGAGAAAGCCCGTCCGATTGAAGCCATAGTGACAGTGAACGCCAATGGTATGTACCTTTGGGTCATCTCGTCCTTCCGAGACATGATTAGGCAATAGCTCTAATTCCAATCGCGAGACCTTCAAATAGGTAAGTACAAGACACATATAGTCAGTTTCAGGGACAATAAACGTACCAAACTGATAAAGTTTTGAACGTCCTGATCAGTTGGTGGGATCTTGGACACCGACGGAAGCTTGTGATATTGGATACCCGCTTGCTCCAAGCCTCTTGGATCGTAAGCCGGGTTGTCTTTGCTAATATCAATGATAGCCTTAACTTCACCTCCCCATTTGCTTGCAAAGTTTTGAGGTGAATGCTCGTCATCGACTTCACGGAGAGTTTTCATCGCACGGAAACGATGGGCAATCAGATCCGAAACAGGTTGAACCGACTGCCATTTTTGAAGATTCTTCAGCTCCCATTTTCCTAGGCGGTTAAGGTGCTGCAGCTGCCAGCTCAAATCAAACCTGCCCGTGATGTGAAGTATAATGAAATCAGAGATCAAGCCAGATACAACGCGAACTGTTTTCGGGTCGTACAAGACGGTATGATTGGCATTTGCTAGGACCCTGGATGCTACAAATTTCGTAGGGCGAAGTTCGAGGGGAGGGATAGCCACGGGCGACTCCCCGGTGTCTCGTGGTGTGATTACTTCATCAGAACTATCCTCAGAATTGGCTGTGGGTCCCTTAGGTTGGAAATTCTCAGCAGTGATATCGCTGATTGACTGAGGAAGCTTCTCGCGGGGTTTCGTATTGGTAAGAGCAGGTATTGTAGCCTCCCCAAAAGCACCGCTGGAGTTGGATGAGCTCGTTTTAGTCAGGACTTCGTTGGTCGAGATGTGCTGGGGGACCTTTTGAGACTCTTTAGCGCCACTATTTGCGGTGGAATTCTCTTCTTGATCATTGATCAGTGCTTTGATCTTGTCAACCTCCTCAGGCTGGGTGATGTTATCGTTCTTGGCCCCAATGAGGTAGACTGGGAGATTCAGTCCCGCCCAGGTAGGCTCTCCGAACAGGCCTCCAACTGGTTGGCCGGCAGTGTAAGACGAGAGACAGCCCCATGCGAACCTACGAAACACAGGACTGGAGCTCTGCCTGTTGAAAACATATTGTAACTCTCTAAGTTCACGGTGCGCTTCTCGGCCGGCTATCCGTAGAACGCTCGGGCTGTTTGTTCCGCCTCTTCGATCCCATCGGCGGAGGAGATCGAATAGCCATGTCGGAAGCCAAAGTAGCTTTCGCAATTTGGAGCTTGCCTTTTCAGAAGGCGGCCCAGATTGAGGACAGATACCAATGACTCCCAAAATGTGGGGTGTAAGGTCGGTGTCATGAGACGCCCCTGGATTCGCCAGTCTGGCTGCGAGTACGGATCCCATACTATGGCCGATTAGAATGACTCCCTGGTTATGTTCCCCGTCGCGGTACTCCTGAATGATGGTCTCGAGTAAAGCAACCATTACGGTGGGCTCGTATGCTTTCCAGTGTTGAGGGCTGAAGGCGGAGCGTCCACATCCTGGCAAATCAACTGCCAGGCAGGAAGCATTGTTGCAGAGACTGGATATAAGCCCAGAGAACTGAGATGCTTGTCCGCCCAGGCCATGAATGAAGACTAGCAATGGCAACGTAGCAGGATGCTGGGGGAATTCATCAATCTTGGGCCGCGGCCGGAAAAATACGCGGACTTTTGGGAAATCAAAGTTTTTGATTTTGTAATTTCTGAACTGGGTATGATCCCTGAGAAGAGCTGGATCCGTCTCTTCAGGGTTTGATACTAGTAGAGGAAGTCAGCAAAACCGGCATTCAAGGGCCCGCTACAATGCAAGGTGATTGACAAACCATCATGTGATTTCGACCGTGACGTTTGAGCCATGGTGGAGCCGGAACAAAAACCGTGGCGAATACAACTTGTTCGGGGCAAGTTAGCAATGTCGACTTGGTGGTTATACAAAATGATAAACGAGTCTCGAGTACGATTTGTGGACAGGTGTTTATCTGTCAGAGAGAAAAGAACTGTCTTGGTCTTGAATAATGTAACAAAGTGTCTGTCTTACTTTGACAATGCGAGAAATGTTGAGGCGAAGTTGTTTTCCAGCAGATGAACCGATTCGAGGACGGATGACAGTGGTACCAGCCAACTATAAAGCCAAGGCGGCAAGGAAAGCACCCGGCTTTGGTAAGTAGGTCACAGCAGCGACCACAAAATATGGAAGTGCAACCTGGAGCGACGGCGAGCCTTCAAATTTAGGATAGGTGCAGACAGCCAAAACGCCGAGTAAAAGGGAATTGCAATCCCAGTTGGAAATTTAGGGTCTTTTGGTCGTGGGTCTATCTGGGTACCTTGGTTAGCCGATGGAGTACAGTCTTGCCTGGTGTGATTATAGTACTATTTTATCCAAGCTGGCGATAATGACTCTTGTGGAAGCCGCTTCTTTTTGGCATACATAGATGGATAGAGGCAGGTATAGTATTCTGGATTGTACCGCTGCAAAGATGTGATTAGTTAGGTAGCTTTGAAAGATAAAGTCCTGGAGTCCCCTTTAGAAAAGATGAGACATGAAAATTGACATTTGATCTGGGGGGGGACAAAGAAAATAAAAAATAAAAATTGTGAGGTGGTAGTGGGATTGCTGAAGGATGATAAGCTGGCAGCGGAAGTAGCGCGCACCCACGGTATGTTGGTGGTGAGAAAAGAGCCGGTCGGTTATCAGTGCGAAGGGCAGAGAGAGGCTAGAGGCAGACTGGCTTACATTCCTGCTTGCCTGCTGACTGATGCGATGCAGATGCAATAGAAAATGCAGGTTGCAGATGCCAGATGCAGATTCGCAGCTGCTGCTTCAACCAACTTTAACAGTATTTCTTGGAGGCGATGTCATAGCTTTTTGCCGGCCAACGGATCGTCATAGCAGCCCAACGTGCGAGAACCGTGGGGTGCCGGTGAGCAGGGTGAGCCGGGCGCACGCTCTCTGATTGGACTAAAAGGTCTGCCGAGCCAATGGGCAGCCCTGTAGAGCCCATGGCGAATATAAGGCTGGTTGGTGGTCTTTTCTCCTCTAGAATGTACCTAAGCCCCCCACCGAAGCATTTTTTTTTCTCTTTGGGAGCGAGTGAGACTGGTGATGAGTGAGAAGGATTCACCTTTACGGAATACACGGCATTCATGGCGATCAGACTTTATGCACATACAATCCGCCATCTCTCTCTTTTGCAGAATTGATGCCTACCTACGTACCTAACCTAGGTACCAATAGGTGATTTTCTCTGGTCTTCCCTGTTTCACATCATTGCAATTACCCGACCTTTTTAGAAGCATGCGAAACAATTATAGCTTGACCTATATGCAAGTGAAGCTTATTTGGATATTTGCCATCTTGTTACAATCATCTTGACAGCCACAGTTTTTGGGCAGATAGTATGCACATTTCGACTGTGCTCAAACTTACCAACATTTGCTAAACTTTAGGTACCATATTTTTTGACTCTGTTCCCCCCCTTTTCTTATGACCGCTTTTATCCGTGCTCGAGGTTGTACACGCAGCACTGCTTTGCTGTAACCCCAAATGTTATCTGTCATATTTCCAACACATTGCGCTGCGGACCGGCGCGGACCTACGTGTCTTGGACGACCTATCGGGGAGGAATCATACTCCATGTGGTCGAGGCAATTGGCTTTCGACATCGACCGCTCCCGAGTCATGTTATTAAGTGAACCGTGAGCTCGAGCTTTATAGTTGTCCTGAGCTTACAACACTCCATATATACAGGGACAAAATGGATAGCCCAAGGCTGTAACTAATTTGAGGATTGGCAAAAATTAATTACCAGTATCTAAAGAACAAGGTCCGGCAATTTGTTAGCCTCATCCCATTATGGCCGATTGTCGCATGTCCCATCTGTATGTGCACTTTGCTGTTTTGATGCCTCGGTGAGCAATAGGCGCTCTGGTATTGGATAGCACACCTGGGTGGATCGGCTTCCCGACCTTTCGAAAACCGCCGACGCTTTTTTTCCCACAAGGAGATCCATGACGTTCAGACAACACCACCAATGTTAATGCTGCTCGTCTAAAGTTGGAGAGCTCGAGCGCCAAATTGAAGCTCGCTCCAATTTTACACCATCAATACCCGTGTACACCATGCCAAGCTGCCCACCAAGGTGACAACTGGCACTGATCAGTTTCTAATACAATGGCATCTACACTACGCATCTGTCGCCCTGCTGGCGCATCGAACTCGATCCTCCCACGTGCAGCAGCGGGCTGTCGGCACATCTCTCACAGCACAAGTGCGAGCGTACGGGCACGCTGCAGCTTGAACTTGAGGAATCAACAGCCAGTCGCCCCGAACCAGTCCTCGAGGGGGTCCGTCGCCTCCTTCCACACCACACCCTCAGTCCACGCCTCCCGCGCACAGCAGCCCGGCGGCAACCCGGCAGCCACGAGTCTAGGACTCCTCGACGTCCTCGGCAACATCCCCGCGCCCTCGACGTCGGTCGACATTTGCATGTCCTCGGGCTTTGTGCTCAACAGCGGCGCGCGGGTGACGGACGGCTCGGGCATTATTCTGATCGGCGGCGAGGCCTTTCGGTGGCGGCCCTGGGAGCTCTCCCCGTCGGCGTCGGAAGGCAAGCCGCGCCTGCAGAACAAAAAGGGCCAATACGACGTCCCGCCGCCGAGTCTCAGCCTGTTTGCGCACCTCTGGCCGCGGCCAGACTTGCTGATTCTGGGCGTAGGACCCGAGAACAGACCGCTGAGCCCCGAGCTGAGGAAAGCCGTAAGCGCCCTGGGCATACGGGTCGAGGTGCTGGATACGAGGAACGCGGCTGCTCAGTTTAACCTTTTGGCAACCGAGCGCGGCGTCGATGATGTTGCCGCCGCATTGATACCCATTGGTTGGGTCGAGGGCCAGGGAGCGCCTAGCGACGACGAAGGAGAAATCACACACGAATAGAATGTTTACCACAAAAGTCGACTCCATGCGAGGAATGGCCTTGTACCCAATTCAGGGACTTCTGTATTATATTTGTACCATTCATAATGATGAGAGACGGTATCACCCATCAGGGCCAATTATACCACACGTACGTACGTACGAGTGGTCTACAATTGCGCGTTCTGGACATGCAAGTCTACGAGTTTAGACGCTTCAACGCATGATACTCAAATAGGAGCAAGCCAATGGAATCGTTGCCCTGTACCAGTCTTTGGTCAATGACTCATTTCGATGGTAGAATAATGTGACACGTTGTCCAAGGAGTGGTGTCACTCAGTCAGAGGTCTCTTGTGCCAAATATCTGCAACCTCGATACACGGAAAGCACTGGATCATGCGGCCCCGGCCTACATCATGCCACACGATTGAATGTGAGAAAATGCTCAAACGAGTCTCGCATATGCCCAATCTCGTAAAAGTGATGTCTTGACGTCGTTTATTCCATTCCGATCATCTAGACACTCAAAGACGCCCTAGAAACAGTAGTCGAGGATCTCTTATAATGATGCGAGTCCTTTACACATGCGAATGCCCTGTCCCCGTTTGAACACCTAAAGCAATGTAGACGGACCGAAAACTCTCCACCGTTGTCATTCCCTTTTTATCGTGAAGTGTCCATTTATTTCTTCTTGCTGGCGCCCTCCTGCTCCTTGAGCACCTTCTTGACGATCTTCTGCTCCTCGATCAAGAAAGCACGGACGATGCGGTCGCGCACGCAGTTACCGCATCTGGAACCACCGTAGGCGCGCTGGACAGTCTTCTTGGGGTGCGAGATCTGAGCGTACTCGCGGGGGCGCAGGGCAGGGACCTGAAAAAACATGTTAGTACTTGAAGCAAGATCGTTGTTTGCTTGACGATCATTGATGAGCAAGTGGCAGTCGGTCGGTGGCGGTTCGTCAATCTTCAGAGGCTTGCAGTGATTCTGCAGTGCATGAATGTCGTAGATCTAGGTTGAATGCTGATTGCATCTTTCAAGACGCGCAATTGAGCCGTTTCGAATTGTTTATCGCGTAAAGATTCAAGTCCGTGTGGGATAGAATTGTCGACCTTTGGTGCCTCGTCTCTTGCCATGATTCCTCCACATTTGCCCACTTGCTCATCGGAATGATCGCCGGGTCGGGTTGCTGGTGAATAAGACTTACACCAGGGAGCTTGGTACCGCAGTCACCGCACTTGGGGGCAGTACCGCGCTTGCGAATGTGCAGAGCTCTCAGCTCACCACCGGGGGTCTTGACGATGCGGGTGAGGTTGGAGGAGGTGTTGTAGCTAAAATTTCCAGATCAGCCCTTGGCTCCCCCATAACTGCCAACTCTTTTTTCCGACTGGGACAAAATCGCAGAGAATCGATGGGAGCAAACATACGGGTTGCGGGTGCGGTAGGTGACTCTGTTGTTCGGCATCTTGGCGGTATTGTCTGGCGTGAGACTGTCGAGATGATTCCGGCGTTGGGCGTTGGGTGGAAAATCTAAAGCTCGAGGTCTGGTTCCGTCTTCAGATCCTTACTGAAATTTGGATTTTGCGAAAATAATTGTGTGCAAGGCCCCAAGACACGATTTGACCAATGGCATGGCCAGACTGCACAAGCGGGGGCAGAGAAAAAGTGGCGGCCGTGCACAGCCATAACAGCCACAAACTGAAACAGCCACTAGCCACATTCTAGGAGCTTGGACCTTCAGCACGTCTCAGGGTCACGTGTCGTTGAAGCTAGTTGGGGTCATTGAATGGCAATCGCGACTTCAAGCTCTGGGCAGCCTAGAACTTTTTCTCGACGTGAGGCGACAGCATTATCCAAACCCATCGCCAAGTCCGCAAAGGTCACCAACATCAACCTTTCGCGCGACCTCGACCTGTGCATGTTTGCACTTTTATTCCAGGTTCCCAAATAGCGACAAGGTATTTGGGTATAGACTGCGACCAGCATAATTAGGTCCATCGCGACCGGGCTCGCGGCGCGAAAGCGACGAACCATACAAAATCAATCATCGCCGACGTGTGACTGAGCAACATGTCCAACTTCCAGCCGCCTCCGCCTCCTCCAGGATGGGGTCCTCCTCCACCTCCTCCGCCGCCTCCTGGCCCCCCATCAGATTTTCTTCCTCCTCCGCCAGGAGCTCCAGCGCCCCCGCCGCCAGGATATCGGCCGCCGACTGATCCTCATATCGCCAAGTTTGCTCAGAAGAAGACGGAATGGCTACGCATGCAGAAGAACCGCTTCGGCGAGAAGCGCAAGGGCGGATTCGTGGAAACGCAAAAGGCAGACATGCCGCCCGAACATCTGCGCAAGATTGTCAAGGATATCGGTGATGTTTCGCAAAAGAAGTACACAAGTGACAAACGAAGTTATCTCGGTGCTTTGAAGTTCATGCCTCATGCCGTCTTGAAGCTTCTCGAGAACATGCCAATGCCTTGGGAGTCAGCTCGTGAGGTCAAGGTCCTATACCACGTAAACGGTTGCTTGACGCTTGTCAACGAAATCCCAAGAGTCATCGAGCCGGTTTTCCATGCACAATGGGCGACGATGTGGTTGACGATGCGAAAAGAGAAGAGTGATCGTCGCTTGTTTAAGCGTATGAGATTTCCGCCGTTCGACGATGAGGAGCCGCCATTGTCTTGGTCCGAGAACATCGAGGATGTTGAACCCCTTGAGCCCATTCAGATGGAGCTCGACGAAGACGAGGATGCTGCAGTCTATGAATGGTTTTACGACCATAGACCTTTGCTCGACACATCGCATGTCAATGGCCCGAGTTACAAGACATGGAACTTGAACCTTCAACAGATGGCAGCATTGCATCGTCTGAGCAGACCACTGCTAAGTGAAAACTACGATCCAAACTACTTCTTCTTGTTCGACATGAAGAGTTTCCTGACAGCCAAAGCGCTGAATGTTGCTCTTCCAGGTGGCCCCAGATTCGAACCTCTGTACAAGGACATAGATCCAAACGACGAAGACTTTGGCGAGTTCAATGCAATTGACAGAATCATCTTCAGAAACCCCATCCGAACAGAGTCACGGGTCGCATACCCCTATCTCTATAACTCACTGCCCCGAAGCGTACACTTCAACTGGTACTCGCATCCTCAGGTTGTGTATACCAAGACAGATGATCCTAGCCTTCCAGCCTTCCTCTTTGATCCATCAATCAACCCAATTTCGTCTCGCTCAGTTGCTCCCAAGAATATTAGCATCAGTCATGAGGACGAGTTGTTCGGCCCTGGCAACATCGAGGAAGCCGAAGATGACGCATTCGAGCTCCCCGCCGGCGTTGAGCCGTTCTTGGCGGACGAGGAGCTGTACAATGAAGATACATCTGCAGCGATCGGTCTCTGGTGGGCCCCGTTCCCCTTTGACCGGCGATCCGGTCGCATGGTTCGTGCTCAAGATGTGCCTCTTGTGAAACAGTGGTATCTGGAGCATTGCCCGCCCAAGCAGCCTGTGAAGGTCAGGGTATCGTACCAGAAGCTCCTCAAGACCTATGTCCTGAATGAGTTGCACACAAAGCCACCAAAGGCTCAAAACAAGCAGAACCTGCTCAAGAGTCTCAAGCAAACAAAATTCTTCCAACAGACCACCATTGATTGGGTCGAAGCAGGTCTTCAGGTTTGCCGGCAAGGTTTCAATATGCTGAATCTACTCATCCACCGCAAGAACTTGACTTACCTTCACCTTGACTACAATTTCAACCTCAAGCCGGTCAAGACCCTGACCACCAAGGAGCGAAAGAAGTCGCGTTTCGGTAACGCTTTCCATCTGATGCGTGAAATTCTGCGGTTGACCAAGCTCATCGTCGATGCTCAAGTCCAGTACCGTCTTGGCAACATTGATGCGTTCCAATTGGCTGATGGAATCTTGTATGCTTTCAATCACGTTGGTCAATTGACTGGTATGTACCGATACAAGTACAAGCTGATGCACCAGATTCGATCTTGCAAGGATCTGAAGCATCTGATCTACTACCGCTTCAACAGTGGCCCCGTTGGCAAGGGCCCCGGTTGTGGTTTCTGGGCGCCTGCTTGGAGAGTCTGGCTTTTCTTCATGCGTGGTATCATCCCCCTGTTGGAGAGATGGCTTGGAAACTTGCTGTCTCGTCAGTTCGAGGGTCGCCACAGCAAGGGAGTCGCCAAGACTGTCACAAAACAGCGTGTCGAGTCACACTTTGATCTCGAGCTGCGTGCTTCCGTCATGGCAGACTTGATGGACATGATGCCCGAAGGTATCAAGCAGAACAAGGTCAACACCATCTTGCAGCATCTTTCAGAGGCCTGGAGATGCTGGAAGAGTAACATTCCTTGGAAGGTTCCTGGCTTGCCCGCACCGATTGAGAATATCATTCTCCGTTACGTCAAGTCAAAGGCCGATTGGTGGGTCTCGGTTGCTCACTACAACCGTGAGAGAATCAGGAGAGGTGCCACCGTGGACAAGACTGTCGCCAAGAAGAACGTCGGCCGTTTGACCCGACTTTGGTTGAAGGCCGAGCAGGAGAGACAGCACAACTACCTCAAGGATGGCCCCTACGTGTCGTCCGAAGAGGCTGTTGCCATCTACACAACCACTGTTCACTGGCTTGAATCGCGAAAGTTCACTCCCATCCCGTTCCCGAGTGTCTCTTACAAGCATGACACCAAGATATTGATCCTTGCTCTGGAAAGGTTGCGCGAAGCATACTCAGTCAAGGGTCGCCTCAACCAGAACCAGCGTGAAGAGCTTGCTTTGATCGAACAGGCATATGACAGCCCGGGCACGACCTTGGAACGCATCAAGCGTTTCCTCCTCACCCAGCGCGCCTTCAAGGAAGTCCAGATTGACATGAACGACAATTACAGCACGATCAACCCTGTCTATGACATTGAGCCCATCGAGAAGATCAGTGATGCCTATCTTGACCAATATCTCTGGTACCAAGCGGATCAGCGTCATCTGTTCCCGGCTTGGATCAAGCCGTCGGATTCCGAGGTACCACCGCTGTTGACATACAAGTGGGCGCAAGGCATCAACAATCTCGACAGAGTCTGGGAAACCGCCGATGGCGAGTGCAATGTCATGATTGAAACCGAGCTGTCCAAGGTCTATGAGAAGATTGACTTGACCCTTCTCAACCGTCTTCTCAGATTGATCATGGATCACAATCTTGCAGACTACATCAGTGCAAAGAACAATGTTCAGTTGACGTACAAGGACATGAACCACGTCAACGGCTATGGTATGATCCGTGGTCTCCAGTTCTCGGGTTTTGTCTTCCAGTACTACGGTTTGGTTTTGGATCTGCTGCTCCTTGGTCTCAACAGAGCAAGTGAAATCGCTGGTCCGCCAAACAGCCCTAATGATTTCCTCCAATTCCGTGACCACGAAACTGAAACCAAGCACCCTATCCGCTTGTACACTCGTTACGTCGACAAGATCTGGGTTTTCCTGAGATTTACTGCGGAGGAATCAAGAGACCTCATCCAGAGGTTCTTGACTGAGCAGCCAGACCCCAACTTTGAGAATGTCATTGGCTACAAGAGCAAGAAGTGTTGGCCGCGTGACTCGAGAATGCGCTTGATGCGGCACGATGTCAACCTTGGTAGGGCTGTCTTCTGGGATCTGAAGAACCGACTTCCTCGATCGGTCACCACCATTGAGTGGGATGACACTTTTGCTAGTGTCTATAGCAGAGACAACCCGAACCTGTTGTTCTCCATGTGTGGATTCGAAGTCCGTATCTTGCCCAAAATCAGGAACCAGAACGACGAGTTCCCCATCAAAGACAGTGTTTGGTCCTTGGTGAACAATACGACCAAGGAGCGCACCGCGCATGCCTTCCTACAGGTAACGGAAGAGGACATCCAAAAGTTCAACAACCGTATCCGTCAGATTCTCATGTCATCTGGTTCGACCACGTTCACCAAGATCGCCAACAAGTGGAACACGGCCCTGATTGCATTGTTCACCTACTACCGTGAGGCAGCTGTATCGACAGTAAATCTTCTCGATACAATTGTCAAGTGTGAGACGAAGATCCAGACACGAGTCAAGATCGGTCTCAACTCGAAGATGCCTTCTCGTTTCCCTCCTGCTGTGTTTTACACGCCGAAGGAACTTGGTGGTCTTGGTATGATTTCCGGATCGCACATCTTGATTCCTGCCAGCGACAAGCGATGGTCCAAACAAACCGATGTTGGCGTCACGCATTATCGTGCGGGTATGACACATGACGAAGAGACGCTCATTCCCAATATCTTCCGATACATTATCCCCTGGGAGGCAGAGTTTATTGACTCCCAGCGAGTATGGACTGAGTACTCCCAAAAGCGACTGGAGGCGAACAACCAGAACCGTCGTTTGACACTTGAAGATCTGGAGGACAGCTGGGACCGTGGTCTTCCCCGTATCAACACCTTGTTCCAGAAAGATCGAAGCACTCTCAGTTTCGACAAGGGATTCCGTGTCCGCAGTGAATTCAAGATCTACCAGCTGATGAAGAGCAACCCCTTCTGGTGGACAAGTCAGCGACATGATGGAAAGTTGTGGAACCTCAATGCCTACCGAACTGATGTCATTCAAGCGCTTGGTGGTGTTGAGACTATCTTGGAGCACACGCTCTTCAAGGCGACAGGATTCCCATCATGGGAGGGTCTTTTCTGGGAGAAAGCGTAAGTGTACCACTCAAATCCAAGCCAGCAAATTATTTGACCAAAATACTGACTCGATAAACAGGAGCGGTTTCGAAGAATCGATGAAGTTCAAGAAATTGACCAATGCCCAGAGATCCGGTCTCAACCAGATCCCCAATCGTCGTTTCACACTTTGGTGGTCGCCTACAATCAACAGAGCCAACGTCTATGTCGGTTTCCAGGTCCAGCTTGATCTGACAGGTATCTTCTTGCACGGCAAGATCCCCACACTGAAGATCTCTCTAATTCAAATCTTCCGTGCCCATTTGTGGCAAAAGATGTAAGTACTTCTCTGTGCGGTTTTCTATTAATCGCAGAAAAGACGCAAGACGTGAGGCTAATATGGCTATCTTGTAGACATGAGAGTATCGTGATGGATCTGTGCCAAGTATTCGATCAGGAGCTCGAGTCCCTTGGTATTGAAACAGTGCAGAAGGAGACGATCCACCCGCGTAAGTCGTACAAGATGAACAGTTCTTGCGCCGACATCTTGCTCTTTGCGAGCAACAAGTGGAACGTCACGAGACCTTCGCTGCTTTACGACACCAAGGATGTCATTGAGCCAACTACGACCAACAAGTTCTGGGTCGATGTGCAACTGCGATACGGTGACTACGATTCCCACGACATTGAGCGTTATACGCGTGCCAAGTACCTCGACTATACCAACGACAGCATGAGTATCTACCCCTCCCCCACAGGTCTGATGATTGGTATCGATCTCGCATACAACCTCTACTCTGCCTACGGTCAATACTTCCCAGGTCTCAAGGTGCTTGTGCAACAGGCAATGGCCAAGATCATGAAGGCAAACCCTGCCTTGTACGTTCTTCGCGAGCGTATTCGAAAGGGTCTGCAACTGTATGCTTCTGAAAGCAACCAAGAGTTCCTGAACTCGCAGAACTACTCGGAGCTCTTCAGCAACCAGACCAAACTCTTCATTGATGACACCAATGTATACCGTGTCACCATCCACAAGACCTTTGAAGGTAACTTGACGACCAAGCCCATCAACGGTGCCATCTTCATATTCAATCCCCGAACAGGACAGCTGTTCCTGAAGATCATCCACACCAGTGTCTGGGCGGGTCAGAAGCGTCTCGGTCAATTAGCCAAGTGGAAGACTGCCGAAGAAGTTGCAGCGCTGATTCGATCTCTACCGGTCGAAGAACAACCGAAGGAGCTCATCGTCACCCGAAAGGGTCTTTTGGATCCTCTGGAAGTGCATCTGCTCGATTTCCCCAACATCTCTATTCGTGCTTCCGAGCTGCAGCTTCCCTTCCAGGCAGCCATGAAGGTTGAGAAGCTTGGTGATATGATTCTCCGAGCAACTGAGCCACAGATGGTGTTGTTCAATCTGTACGATGAGTGGCTGAAGAGTATATCCTCTTACACGGCTTTCTCACGTTTGGTGCTGATTCTGCGTGCACTACATGTCAACCCAGATAAGACCAAGCTCATTCTCCGGCCGGACAAGACTGTGATCACACAAGATCACCACATTTGGCCTACCCTATCTGACGAGGATTGGATCAAGGTGGAGACGCAGCTGCGTGATTTGATCTTGCATGACTACGGCAAAAAGAATAATGTCAACGTTTCCAGTTTGACGAGTAGCGAAGTCCGAGATATCATTCTTGGTATGGAAATCTCGGCACCATCGCTCCAAAGACAGCAAGCTGCAGAGATCGAGCAGCAGCAGCAGGAGCAACAGCAGCTTACTGCCGTCACTACAAAGACGCAAAATGTCCGCGGTGAAGAGATTATTGTGACCACAACGTCTCAATTTGAGCAGCAAACTTTCGCCTCAAAGACGGAATGGCGCACTCGCGCGATTGCGACGTCCAACTTGCGTACCCGCTCCAACAACCTCTACGTCTCTCCCGTCGATAGTGACAATGATGATATCACGTATATCATGCCAAGCAACATTTTGAAGAAGTTCATTACTATTGCCGATCTGAGAGTACAGGTTGCGGGTTACCTCTACGGTTCGTCGGCCCCTGACACAGATGACAAGGTCAAGGAGATTCGCTGTATTGTCATGGTGCCACAGGTTGGTGGATTGCGCAATGTTACATTGCCCCAGCAGCTGCCGTCGCACGAGTACCTGAACAACATGGAGCCATTGGGTGTTATTCACACCATTGCTGGCAATGAGCTTCCTTACATGTCTGCTGCTGATGTCACCGAGCACGCGCGCTTGCTTGATCAAAACCCCTCCATCAGCAAGACGGCTTCCATCACAGTCGACGTGTTCTTTACTCCTGGATCAGTCTCTCTTTCTGCCTGGAGTCTGACACCCGACGGCTTTGCTTGGGGTGCTGAGAACAAGGATCTCGGTAGCGACCAGCCACAAGGTTTTGTCACAACCATGGGTGTAAAGAAGCAGCTTCTGCTCAGCCCCAAGTACAAGGGCTTCTTCTTGGTCCCCGAGAATGGCAAGTGGAACTACAGCTTCATGGGTGCAGGATTTGATGCACTGCTGAAGAAGAAGGTTGATGTCAAGCTCGATACTCCGCTGGCCTTTTATGCGGATGTACATCGCCCATTGCATTTCCAGAACTTTGCTGAGCTGGAAGAAGTCGGAGTTGATCGGGAGGATCAGTTTGCCTAAATGACTGAGCAATAACAACACGATGTCATGGAACCTGGTAAAAGGAAGAACAAATTCCTAGGGTCGACGCCGCATGAGGAATGAGAAGACAGTTGCAAATCATCGTAGGCGTTCAGGAGTTTGATTTGTCAAAAGCAGATTATGGGATAGTACACCTAAAAGATCTTGTTCTCTTCCCAGCGGACACGTTTGGGACGAGCGAAAGTGTAATCATATGTTGATAGCTCTGTATCACCAGACATAAAATTTGAAACTTGTGTAATATTCAAGCTTGATTTGCCAAAACATTTGGAAAAGACTGGTGATAGACAAGATGCTCCGTTGTAGGTGATATATTCGTCGGTTGCCACTGTAACTTGTATGAATTCCTTGTGCCCCTAATAAATGCAATTCCTGAATGTCTATCTCTTATGTTTGTCGTCGCTCGCCATGCTCAACTATATAAGAAGGGGTAGAAGAATAAAAATCAAAGTTGTATAGTCCATACAAGAGTTGACGCCACCACCGTGCTTATGCCTTTTAGATCTATGTTCGAATTCGTTTCCTGTCGCCGCTTTTGTCAGAGCTTGGTGCTGGACGGGTTCAAGATGTATGCCTGTCCGGGAGTCGTTCGAGTGTGTTGGAGTGAATGGTTGATGCTGTCAAGGAGCTGTCTGTCTTGTTCACTCTTGCTCTGGTGAACCGTGGTGTACAGGCAGGGGCCATGCCGGCAGTTCGTAGACGGGCGATGGGACTTGTGGCGGAGGTGGCTGTGTTCGCTCGGGAGACGGCCAGCGTTGCTCGTGATAAGGTATTTCAGTTTGAGCTTGTTCTTCCTTCTGAGAGGAAGCGAAGTTCCGATACGTGAAGTAGAGGCCCATCAACGCGACGAACACAGATGCCAGACCAAAGGTGATACCGACGATCACGGCTGGTGAGATATCGGAGGTAGTCGACATCGTATATCTTCTGTTGAGTCGGCTGTGGGTATGGGATGGGTATGAATGGGATGGGATGGGACCGGATGGTAAAGTGAGTAATTGTGGCTCAGCCCTGCCGCGGAACGCTACCCCTAAAATAAAGTGATATGTATGTATGTATGTAAGGTAAGGTAGGTAGCCTTTGTAAATGACTACCCACAGATGTGAGATAATGCGTGAGGCTGGGGTCACAGAGGCGTATCTCTGGGAAAGAAGGCTAGGCACTTGTGCAAGTAACGATATGGAAGAATGTAGGTCTGATCGAGTTCCTATCGGCGATCTGAATAAAAATGATGGTCAGGTCCTCTAAAGTCCTAAGATGATGATAATGTAATTTAATATCTCAGAATATGAAGGGTGGTGTGCAACACCCGAAGATTCCAAATGCCACTTGAGCACCTATATATACAGACATCCGGGCAAAGCTTGCAACCAGAAAAGACTCGATTATTCTGAGCGTATTTCAACCTGCCAGGGGGGTTATTGGGCAGCCGTCATCAAAAATCTATCATGGTGCGAAATGGTGGTAGGTAGCAGGCGAGGTGAGGCTAATGAGGTTATTGAGTGCGACAGCTGCGACGGAGAAAGGAAAATAACAAAAGGATACCGCTTCAAGGACTGCGACGTGGAAGATCATGAATATTATAATATAGTCGATCCACCTTGGGAGACCCGACGAAAGTACCTACATAAACCCTGCACTGCCACCATTTAGACCAGTGCGACACTGCGACAGGCCGTCGATGGATTCAAGTCCCCTTTTTTTCTTCTTCTGGCAGATCCGACAGGAATGACAAGTATTCTGGCGTCAATTAACTTCTCCTCAAGTGCGACAGTGCGATGTGGCGCTCGCTGGATACAATGTGTCTCGGTTGTACCCCAGAGTCATACCCTTTTTGCATGTACATGCCAAGAAGTGGAAACCTCATGTGTTGGAGGCGGCAGAGG